CCCCCCCAGGTAACAGAGGGACAGGTGACCCTCCAGGGCCACCAGCTCCAACGGGGACAGGTCCACCTGCTGATGGAGCACACCTGGGGGTCACCTGAGCCATCCCCAGCTCAGAGTGACCTCAGAGCCACCAGGACCACCCAAACCCCCCCAGGTGAGAGCGGGACAGGTGACCCTCCAGGGCCACCAGCTCGAATGGGGACAGGTCCACCTGCTGATCATTGACACCTGGGAGTCACCTGGGGGTCACCTGAGCCATCAGAGCCACCCAAACACCCCCAGGTGTCCCCAAACCCCCCCAGGTGAGAGCAGGACAGGTGACCCTCCAGGGCCACCAGCTCCAACGGGGACAGGTCCACCTGCTGATGGAGCACACCTGGGGGTCACCTGGGGGTCACCTGAGTCATCAAACCACACCTGAGAGCCACCAGGACCACCCAAACCCCCCCAGGTGCCAGCGGGACAGGTGACCCTCCAGGGCCACCAGCTCCAACGGGGACAGGTCCACCTGCTGATTATTGACACCTGGGGGTCACCTGGGGGTCACCTGAGAGACACCTGAGCCACCAGGACCCCAAAAATGTCACCCAAACCCCCCCAGGTGAGAGCGGGACAGGTGACCCTCCAGGGCCACCAGCTCGAACGGGGACAGGTCCACCTGCTGATCATTGACACCTGAGAGTCACCTGAACCATCCCCAGGTGACACCTGAGCCACCAGAACCACCCAAACCCCCCAGGTGAGAGCGGGACAGGTGACCCTCCAGGGCCACCAGCTCCAACGGGGACAGGTCCACCTGCTGATTATTGACACCTGGGGGTCACCTGAGGGTCACCTGAGCCATCAAATCACAGCCCAGAGCCACCAGGACCACCCAAACCCCCCCAGGTGAGAGTGGGACAGGTGACCCTCCAGGGCCACCAGCTCCAACGGGGACAGGTCCACCTGCTGATTATTGACACCTGGGGGTCACCTGGGGGTCACCTGAGCCATCTGAACCACCAGGACCCCAAAAATGTCACCCAAACCCCCAGGTGCCAGCGGGACAGGTGACCCTCCAGGGCCACCAGCTCCAACGGGGACAGGTCCACCTGCTGATTATTGACACCTGGGGGTCACCTGGGGGTCACCTGAGAGACACCTGAGCCATCAAATCACAGGTCAGAGCCACCAGGAGCACCCAAACCCCCCCAGGTGCCAGCGGGACAGGTGACCCTCCAGGGCCACCAGCTCCAACGGGGACAGGTCCACCTGCTGATGGAGCACACCTGGGGGTCACCTGAGAGACCCCTGAGCCATCAAATCACAGCTCAGAGTGACCTCAGAGCCACCAGGACCACCTGAACCATCCCCAGGTGCCAGGGGGACAGGTGACCCTCCAGGGCCACCAGCTCCAACGGGGACAGGTCCACCTGCTGATGGAGCACACCTGGGGGTCACCTGAGCCATCTGAACCACCTGAATGACCCCCAGAACCACCCAAACCCCCCCAGGTGAGAGCGGACAGGTGACCCTCCAGGGCCACCAGCTCCAACGGGGACAGGTCCACCTGCTGATCAGCACACCTGGGGGTCACCTGAGCCATCAAATCACAGCTCAGAGTGACCTCAGAGCCACCAGGACCACCCAAACCCCCCCAGGTGCCAGCGGGACAGGTGACCCTCCAGGGCCACCAGCTCCAACGGGGACAGGTCCACCTGCTGATTATTGACACCTGGGGGTCACCTGAACCATCCCCAGGTGACACCTGAACCACCTGGACCCCAAAAATGTCACCAGGGCCACCCCCAGGTGACCCCAGGTGGCTCCAGAGCTCCTCAGGTGACACCAAACCACCTTGAAATGCCACCAAACCCCCTGAGATGTCACCAAACCCTCTTTTGATGCCACCAAACCCCTCCTTGATGCCACCAAACCTCATCAAAACCTCTCCAGATGTCACCAAACCCTCCCTGGATGCCACCAAACCTTCTTTAAATGCCACCAAACCCTCTCCAGGTGCCACCAAACCTTCTTTTAAGGTCACCAAACCATCTCCAGGTGCCACCAAACCATCTCCAGGTGCCACCAAACCATCTCCAGGTGCCACCAAACCCCCTTTTAATGCATCCAAACCCCCTTGAGATGTCACCAAACCACTCCAGGTGCCACCAAACCCCCTTGAGATGTCACCAAATTCCCCCAAACCCCCTCCAACCACCTCCAAACCCTCTCCAGATGCCACCAAACCCTCTTTTAATGCCGCCAAACCCCCTTGAGGTGCCACCAAAGCCCCTCAAACCCCCTCCAACCATCCCCAAACCCCCTCTAGATGCCACCAAACCTTCTTTAAATGCCACCAAATCCCCTTCTGATGCCACCAAACCCCTCCAACCACCCCTAATCCCCCTCTAGATGTCACCAAACCCTGTCCAGATGCCACCAAACTCTCTCCAGGTGCCACCAAACCCCCTCCAGATGCCACCAAACCATCTCCAATCAGCCCCAAACCCCCCTAAACTTCACCAAACCCTCTCCAGATGCCATCAAAGCATCTCTTGATGTCACCAAACTCTCTCTGGATGTCACCAGACCTTCTTTTAATGTCACCAAACCCCCTTGAAATGCCACCAAACCTTCTTTAAATGCTACCAAACCCTCTCCAGGTGCCACCAAACCCCCTCCAGATGCCACCAAGCCCCCAAATCCCCTCCAAGCCACCCCAAACCCTCTCTAGATGCCACCAAACCCCCTTTCAATGCCTCCAAACCCCCTTGAGATGCCACCAAAGCCCCCCAAACCCTCTCCATCCACCCCTAAATCTCCCCAAACCCCCTCAAAGCCCCCCAAACCTCCTCCAATCTCCCCCAAACCCTCTCTAGATGCCACCAAACCTTCTTTAAATGCCACCAAACCCTCTCCAGGTGCCACCAAAGCCCCTTGAGATGCCACCAAACCTTCTTTTAAGGTCACCAAACCCTCTCCAGATGCCACCAAAACCCCCAAACCCCCTCCAAGCACCCCCAAAGCCTCTCCAGGTGCCACCAAACCTTCTTTAAATGCCACCAAACCATCTCCAGATGCCACCAAAAGCCCCCAAACCCTCCTGAGGTGCCACCAAATGTTCTTTTAATGCCTCCAAACCCCCTTGAGATGCCACCAAACTCCCCCAAATCCCCCTCAAACTTCCCCAAACCCCCCCAAAAATCCCCAAATCCCCTGCCAAGCCTGCCCTGGAAGGGGTGAGGCTCCAGGACGAGGGCGGGGGCCTCGAGGCAGAGCCCGGGGGTGACCAGGGGGGACTGGACGGGCCCAAAACTTCACCAAACACCCCCCAAACCTCCCCAAACCCTCTCCAGGTGCCACCAAACCTTCTTTAAATGTCACCAAACCCTCTCCAGGTGCCACCAAACCCTCTCTAGATGCCACCAAACCTTCTTTAAAGGTCACCAAACCCTCTCCAGGTGCCACCAAACCCCCTCCAGGTGCCACCAAAACCTCTCCAGGTGCCCCCAAACCCCCTCCAGGTGCCACCAAAACCACTCCAGGTGCCACCAAACCCCCTCCAGGTGCCACCAAACCTTCTTTAAATGTCACCAAACCCTCTCCAGGTGCCACCAAAAGCCCCCAAACCCTCCTGAGGTGCCACCAAACGTTCTTTTAAGGTCATCAAACCATCTCCAAATGCCACCAAACCCCCTTGAGATGTCACCAAACCACTCCAGGTGCCACCAAACCCCCTTGAGCTGCCACCAAAACCCCCTCAAACCCCCTCCAACCACCCCCAAACCCTCTCCTGATGCCACCAAACCCCCCCAAACCTCCTCCAATCTCCCCCAAACCCTCTCTGGATGTCATCAAACCCTCTCCAGGTGCCACCAAACCTTCTTTAAATGTCACCAAACCCTCTCCAGGTGCCACCAAACCTTCTTTTAAGGTCACCAAACCCTCTCCAGATGTCACCAAACCCCCCCAAACCCTCTTTTGATGCCACCAAACCTTCTTTAAAGGTCACCAAACCCTCTCCAGATGTCACAAAACTCTCTCCAGGTGCCACCAAACCTTCTCTTGATGCCTCCAACCCCCACCAAACCCCCTTGAGATGGCACCAAACCTTCTTTAAAGGTCACCAAACCCCCTTGAGGTGCCACCAAACCACTCCAGGTGCCACCAAACCCCCTTGAGATGCCACCAAAACCCCTCAAACCCCCTTGAGGTGCCACCAAACTCCCTCCAGGTGCCACCAAACCCTCTTGAGATGCCACCAAACCTTCTTTTAAGGTCACCAAACCCCCTTGAGGTGCCACCAAACCCCCTTGAGATGCCACCAAAACCCCTCAAACCCCCTTGAGGTGCCACCAAACCTTCTTTTAAGGTCACCAAACCCCCTTGAGATACCACCAAACTCCCCCAAATCCCCTCCAACCACCCCCAAACCCTCTCCAGCTGCCACCAAACCTTCTTTAAATGCCACCAAACCCTCTCCAGATGCCACCAAAACCCCCAACCCCTCCTGAGGTGCCACCAAACGTTCTTTTAAGGTCATCAAACCATCTCCAAATGCCACCAAACCCCCTTGAGATGTCACCAAACCACTCCAGGTGCCACCAAACCCCCTTGAAGGCTGCACCAGGCCCCCAAGCCTCCAACCACCCCCAAGCCCCTCTAGATGCCACCAAGCCCCCTTTTAATGCCTCCAAACCCCCTTTTAATGCTTCCAAACCCCCTCGAGGTGCCGCCAAACCTTCTTTTAAGGTCACCAAACCTCCCTGAGATGCCACCAAACACCCCCAAACCCTCTCCAGATGCCCCCAAAGCCCCTTGAGATGCCACCAAACCCCCCCAAATCCCCCCAGGGCCCCTGCCCTGGAAGGGGTGAGGCTCCAGGACGAGGGCGGGGGCCTCGAGGCAGAGCCCGGGGGTGACCAGGGGGGACTGGACGGGCCCAAAACTTCACCAAACCCCCCAAACCTCCCCAAACCCTCTCTGGATGTCACCAAACCTTCTTTAAATGTCACCAAACCCTCTCCAGATGTCACAAAACCCTCTCCAGGTGCCACCAAACCCTCTCTTGATGCCTCCAACCCCCACCAAACCCCCTTTAGATGGCACCAAGCCTTCTTTAAATGCCACGAAACCCTCTCTAGGTGCCACCAAACCCCCTTGAGATGCCACCAAAACCCCCCAAAGCCCCTTGAGGTGCCACCAAACCACTCCAGGTGCCACCAAACCCTCTCTGGATGCCACCAAACCCCCCCAAACCCCCCTGAGGTGCCACCAAACCTTCTTTAAAGGTCACCAAACCCCCCTGAGGTGCCACCAAACCTTCTTTTAAGGTCACCAAACCATCTCCAGGTGCCACCAAACCCCTCCAACCACCCCTAAACCCCCTCTAGATGTCACCAAACCCCCTTGAGGTGCCACCAAACCTTCTTTAAATGCCACCAAACCCTCTCCAGGTGCCACCAAACCCTCTCCAATCAGCCCCAAACCCCCCTAAACTTCACCAAACCCTCTCCAGATGCCATCAAAGCATCTCTTGATGTCACCAAACTCTCTCTGGATGTCACCAGACCTTCTTTTAATGTCACCAAACCCCCTTGAAATGCCACCAAACCTTCTTTAAATGCTACCAAACCCTCTCCAGGTGCCACCAAACCCCCTCCAGATGCCACCAAACCCCCCCAAATCCCCTCCAACCACCCCCAAACCCTCTCTAGATGCCACCAAACCCCCTTTCAATGCCTCCAAACCCCCTTGAGATGCCACCAAAGCCCCCCAAACCCTCTCCATCCACCCCTAAATCTCCCCAAACCCCCTCAAAGCCCCCCAAACCTCCTCCAATCTCCCCCAAACCCTCTCTAGATGCCACCAAACCCTCTCCAGGTGCCACCAAACCTCCTTTTCATGCCACCAAACCCTCTTTAAAGGTCAGCAAACCCTCTCCAGGTGCCACCAAACCCCCCCAAACCCCCTCGAGGTGCCACCAAACCTTCTTTTAAGGTCACCAAACCCCCTTTTGATGCCACCAAACTCCTCCAACCACCCCCAAACTCCCTTGAGATGCCACCAAACCCTCTTTTAAAGTCACCAAATCATCTCCACATGCCACCAAATCCCCTTGAGATGCCACCAAAACCCCACCAAACCCCCTCCAACCACCCCCAAACCCTCTCCAGGTGCCACCAAACCCCCCTGAGATGCCACCAAACCCCCTTGAGATGCCACCAAACCCCCTCAAACCCCCTCCAACCACCCCCAAACCCCTTCTAGATGCCTCCAAACCCCTTTATGCCACCAAGCCCCCTTTAATGCTTCCAGCCCCTCGAGTGCCACCAAACCTTCTTTTAAGGTCACCAAACCTCCCTGAGATGCCACCAAACACCCCCAAACCCTCTCCAGATGCCCCCAAAGCCCCTTGAGATGCCACCAAACCCCCAAATCTCCCAGCCCCTCACCTGGAAGGGGTGAGGCTCCAGGGCGAGGGCGGGGGCCTCGAGGCAGAGCCCGGGGGTGACCAGGGGGGACTGGACGGGCCCAAAACTTCACCAACCACCCCCCAAACCTCCCCAAACCCTCTCCAGGTGCCACCAAACCCTCTTTAAATGTCACCAAACCTTCTTTAAATGTCACCAAACCTTCTTTAAATGTCACCAAACCACCTCCAGATGCCACCAAACCCCCTTGAGATGCCACCAAACCTTCTTTAAAGGTCACCAAACCCCCTTGAGCTGCCACCAAACCCCCTCAAACCCCCTCCAACCCCACCCAAACCCTCTCCAGGTGCCACCAAACCCCCTTTTGATGTCACCAAACCCCTCCAACCACCCCTAAACCCCCTCTAGATGTCACCAAACCCTTTCCAGGTGCCACCAAACCTTCTTTAAATGTCATCAAACCCCCTCCAGTTGCCACCAAATCCCCTTGAGATGCCACCAAACCCTCTCCAGGTGCCACCAAATCACCTCCAGGTGCCACCAAAACCACTCCAGGTGCCACCAAACCCTCTCAAACCACCCCTAAACCCTCTCTAGATGTCACCAAACCCTCTCTGGACGTCACCAAAGCATCTCTGGGTGTCACCAAACCCTCTCCAGGTGCCACCAAACCTTCTTTTAATGCCTCCAAACCCTCTTGAGATGCCACCAAAGACCCCCAGACCCTCTCCAATCAGCCCCAAACCCCCTCAAACCCCCCCAAACCCCCCCAAATCCCGTGCCAGGCCTGACCTGGAAGGGGTGAGGCTCCAGGGCTCGCAGGACGAGGGCGGGGGCCTCGAGGCAGAGCCCGGGGGTGACCAGGGGGGACTGGACGGGCCGGGGCTCGAACAGGTCGGGGTGGTTGCAGACCTTGCGGAGCTGCATCAGCACGTTCAGCACGCTCAGGAAGTGACCACTGGCTAAAGTGGCCTTGGTGCTGGAAAAAAAGGGATTTAGGGGGGTTTGAGAGAGATTTGGGGGGCTTGGAGAAAATTTACAGGGATTTGAGGGGGTTTGAGGGGGATTTGGGGGGTGTTGTAGCAAATTTGGGGGGATTTGGATGGGGTTTGAGGAGGATTTGGGGGGATTAATTAGGGGTTAATTAGTTAATTGGGGATTTGAAAGGGGTTTGAGGGGATTTGGGGGGTTGAGAGGGATTTGGGGGGTTTGAGGGGATTTGGGGGTTTGGTGATGCAGCTGCATCAGCACGTTCAGCACGCTCAGGAAGTGACCACTGGCTAAAGTGGCTTTGGTGCTGCAGGAAAGGGATTTGGGGGAGTTTGAGGGGGATTTGGGGGGGTTTGAGGGGATTTGGGGGAGTTTGAGGAGGATTTGGGGGGGTTTGAGAGGGATTTGGGGGGTTTGAGGGGATTTGGGGGGTTTGAGGGGATTTGGGGAGATTTTGGGTGTCCCAGGTGGGGTTTTGGGGTCTCAGGTGAGTCCCAGGTGACCCAGGTGAGACCAGGGAGGGGTTTGAGGGGGATTTGGGGGGTTTGGGGGCATTTGAAGGGATTTGGGGGATTAATTAGGGGTTAATTAGTTAATTGGGGATTTGAGGGGATTTGAGGGGATTTGGGGGTTTAGTGATGCAGCTGCATCAGCACGTTCAGCACGCTCAGGGAAGTGACCACTGGCTAAAGTGGCCTTGGTGCTGGAAAAAAGGGATTTGGGGGAGTTTGAGGGGGATTTGGGGGCTTGGAGAAAATTTACAGGGATTTGAGGGGGATTTGGGGGGTTTGAGGGGGTTTGGGGGGTTTGAGGGGATTTGGGGGGTTTGAGGGGGATTTGGGGGTCCTGAGAAGAACTTGGGGGCTTGAGAAAATTTACAGGGATTTGAGAGAGATTTGGGGGGATTTGGGGGGTTTGAGGGGATTTGGGGGGTTTGAGGGGATTTGGGGGTTTCAGGGGATTTGGGGGGATTTGGGGGGATTTGAGGGGATTAATTAGGGGTTAATTAGTTAATTTGGGAATTTGAGGGGGTTTGAGGGGGATTTGGGGGGTTTGGTGATGCAGCTGCATCAGCACGTTCAGCACGCTCAGGAAGTGACCACTGGCCAGGGTGGCCTTGGTGCTGGAAAAAAAGGATTTTGGGGGGTTTGAGGGGATTTGGGGGGGTTTGAGGGATTTGGGGGTTTGAGGGATTTGGGGGGGTTTGAGGGGATTTGGGGGGTTTGAGGGGGATTTGGAGGAATTGAGGGGATTTGGGGGGTTGAGGGGATTTGGGGGGTTGAGGGGATTTGGGGGTTTGAGGCAGATTTGAGGGGATTTGGGGGGTTTGGGGGGTTTGAGGGGATTTGGGGGGTTTGAGGGGGATTTGGGGGGTTTGAGAGGATTTGGGGGTCCTGAGAAGAACTTGGGGGCTTGGAGAAAATTTACAGGGATTTGAGAGAGATTTGGGGGATTTGGGGGGTTTGAGGGGATTTGGAAGGGTTTGAGGGGGATTTGGGGGGTTTGAGGGGATTTGGGGAATTTGGGTGTCCCAGGTGGGGCTTTGGGGGTCTCAGGTGAGTCCCAGGTGACCCAGGTGAGACCAGGGAGGGGTTTGAGGGGATTTGAGGGGGATTTGGGGGTTTGAGGAGGATTTGGGGGATTTGGGGGGATTTGGGAGGGTTTAGGGGATTTGAGGATTTGGGGGTTTGGGGGGTTTGAGGGATTTGGGGGGGTTTGAGGGGATTTGGGGGTTTGGGGGATTTGGGGGTTTGAGGGGATTTCATTGGAATTTTAGGGTCTTTTTTGGTCTCCCCGATATTTTTTGGGTTCCTGGGTATTTTTGGGGTGCCCCCTGACCTGGCCTGGCCCATGAAGTCGTCGTAGAGGACGATTTTGGGGTGATTTGGGTGCATTTTGGGGCAACTTCGCTGCGTTTTGAGCAAATTTGAGCTAAAATTGTGCAAAATTTGGGGGATTTTTGGGGGAATTTCAGGAATTTTGGGGGGATTTGGGGGTTTTTTGGTCTCCCAAATTTTTTGGGGGTCCCCCTGACCTGGCCTGGTCCATGAAGTCGTCGTAGAGGGGAATTTTGGGTCATTTGGGTGCATTTTGGGGTAACTTGGCTGCGTTTTGAGCAAATTTGAGCTAAAATTGTGGGAATTTGGGGGATTTTTGGGGGGATTTTGGGGTTTTTTGGTCTCCCAAATTTTTTTGGGGTGCCCCCTGATCTGACCTGGCCCATGAAGTCGTCGTAGAGGGGGATTTTGGGGTGATTTGGGTGCATTTTGGGTCGATTTAGGGGCAACTTGGCTGCGTTTTGAGTAGATTTGGACTCCAAATGAGTAAAATTTTGGGGATTTTTGGGGGAATTTCAGGAATTTTGGGGGGATTTTTGGGTTTTTTTGGTCCCAGGATATTTTTGGGAATCCAGGATGTTCTGGGGTGAATCCTGTGGGATTTTGGGGGGAATCCAGAGGGATTTGGGGTGAATTCAATGCGATTTTGGGGCAACTCGGCTGCGTTTTGAGCAAATTTGGACTCCAAATGAGTAAAATTTGGGGGATTTTTGGGGGAATTTCGGGGTTTTTTGGTCTCCCAAATTTTTTGGGGGTCCCCCTGACCTGGCCTGGCCCATGAAGTCGTCGTAGAGGGGGATTTTGGGGTGATTTGGGTGCATTTTGGGGCGATTTAGGGGCAACTTGGCTGCGTTTTGAGCAGATTGGGACTCCAAATGAGCAAAATTTGGGGGATTTTTGGGGGAATTTCGGGGTTTTTTGGGTTCCAGGATATTTTTGGGATCCCAGGATGTTCTGGGGTGAATCCTGTGGGATTTTGGGGTGAATCCAGAGGGATTTGGGTGCATTTTGGGTCGATTTTGGGGCAACTTGGCTGCGTTTTGAGCAGATTTTGACCCTAGATGAGTAAAATTTGGGGGATTTTTGGGTGGATTTCGGGGTTTTTTGGGTTCCTGGGTATTTTTGGGGGTCCCCCTGACCTGGCCTGGCCCATGAAGTCATCGTAGAGGGGGATTTTGGGGTGATTTGGCTGCATTTTGGGTCGATTTAGGGGCAACTTGGCTGCGTTTTGAGCAGATTTGGACTCCAAATGAGTAAAATTTGGGGGATTTTTGTGGGAATTTTGGGGTTTTTTGGTCTCCAGGATATTTTTGGGGGTCCCCCTGACCTGACCTGGCCCATGAAGTCGTCCTAGAGGAAGATTTTGGGGTGATTTGGGTGCATTTTGGGTCGATTTAGGGGCAACTTGGCTGTGTTTTGAGCAGATTTGGACTCCAAATGAGTAAAATTTGGGGGATTTTTGGGGGGATTTGGGGGCTTTTTGGTCTCCCAAATTTTTTGGGGGTCCCTCCTGACCTGGCCTGGCCCATGAAGTCATCGTAGAGGGGGATTTTGGGGTGATTTGGGTGCATTTTGGGGCTCTTTTGGAACATTTTGAGCCCATTTGACCTAAAATCCCACAAAATTTGGGGGATTTTTGGGGGAATTTCGGGTCTTTTTGTTCTCCCCAAAATTTTTGGGAATCCAGGATGTCCTGGGGTGAATCCTGTGGGATTTTGGGGTGAATTCTGTATCACTTTGGGGTGATTTCACTGGGATTTTGGGACGATTTTGGCACATTTTGAGCCGATTTGGACTCCAAATGAGTAAAATTGGGGGATTTTAGTGGGAATTTCAGGAATTTTGGGGGGATTTGGGGGTTTTTGGGTTCCTGGGTATTTTTGGGGGTGCCCCCTGACCTGGCCTGGCCCATGAAGTCGTCGTAGAGGGGGATTTTGGGGTGATTTGGGTGCATTTTGGGGCTCTTTCGGCACATTTTGAACCCATTTGACCTAAAATCCCACAAAATTTGGGGGATTTTTGGGGGAATTTGGGGATTTTTTGGATTCCAGGATATTTTTGGGAATCCAGGATGTTCTGGGGTGAATCCTGTGGGATTTTGGGGTGAACCCAGAGGGATTTGGGGGTGATTTCAATGCGATTTTGGGGCAACTTGGCTGCGTTTTGAGCAGATTTGGACTCCAAACGAGTAAAATTTTGGGGATTTTTGGGGGAATTTCGGGGTTTTTTGGGTTCCTGGGTATTTTTGGGGGTCCCCCTGACCTGGCCTGGCCCGTGAAGTCGTCGTACAGGGGGATTTTGGGGTGATTTGGGTGCATTCTGGGTCGATTTAGGGGTAACTTGGCTGCGTTTTGAGCAGATTTGGACTCCAAATGAGCAAAATTTGGGGGATTTTTGGGGGAATTTCAGGAATTTTGGGGGGATTTTTGGGTTTTTTTGGGTCCCAGAATATTTTTGGGAATCCAGGATGTTCTGGGGTGAATCCTGGGCAATTTTGGGGTGAATTCTGTATCACTTTGGGGTGATTTCACTGGGATTTTGGGGCGATTTTGGTACATTTTGAGCCCATTTGGACTCCAAATGAGTAAAATTGGGCGGATTTTTGGGGGAATTTCAGGAATTTTGGAGGAATTTTGGGTTTTTTTGGGTTCCAGGATATTTTTGAGGTGCCCCCTGACCTGGCTTGGCCCATGAAGTCATCGTAGAGGGCGATTTTGGGGCCATTTGGGTGCATTTTGGGTCGATTTAGGGGCAACTCCGCTGCGGTTTGAGCAGATTTTGACTCCAAATGAGTAAAATTTGGGGGATTTTTGTGGGAATTTCAGGAATTTTGGGGGGATTTGGGGGTCTTTTGGGTTCCTGGGTATTTTTGGGGTGCCCCCTGACCTGGCCTGGCCCATGAAGTCGTCATAGAGGGGGATTTTGAGGTGATTTGGGTGCATTTTGGGGTTCTTTTGGCGCATTTTGAGCAGATTTGACCTAAAATCCCGCAAAATTTGAGGGATTTTTGGGGGGATTTTGGGGTTTTTTTGGTCCCAGGATATTTTTGGGAATCCAGGATGATCTGGGGTGAATCCTGTGGGATTTTGGGGTGAACCCAGAGGGATTTGGGGGTGATTTCAACGCGATTTTGGGGCAACTTGGCTGCGTTTTGAGCGGATTTGGACTCCAAATGAGTAAAATTTGGGGGATTTTTGGGGGAATTTCGAGGTTTTTTGGGTTCCTGGGTATTTCTGGGGTGCCCCCTGACCTGGCCTGGTCCATGAAGTCGTCGTAGAGGGGGATTTTGGGGTGATTTGGGTGCATTTTGGGTCGATTTAGGGGCAACTTGGCTGCGTTTTGAGCAGATTTGGACTCCAAATGAGTAAAATTTGGAGGATTTTTGTGGGAATTTCAGGAATTTTGGGGGGATTTTTGGGTTTTTTTGGGTTCCAGGATATTTTTGGGAATCCAGGATGTTCTGGGGTGAATCCTGTGGGATTTTGGGGTGAATCCAGAGGGATTTGGGTGCATTTTGGGTCGATTTTGGGGCAATTTGGCTGCGTTTCGAGCAAATTTGAGCTAAAATTGTGCAAAATTTGGGTTTTTTTTGTGGGAATTTTGGAGTTTTTTGGTTCCTGGGTATTTTTGGGGTGCCCCCTGACCTGGCCTGGCCCATGAAGTCATCGTAGAGGGGGATTTTTGGGTGATTTGGGTGCATTTTGGGGCTCTTTTGGCACACTTTGAGCCAATTTGACCTAAAATCCCACCAAATTTGGGGGATTTTTGGGGGAATTTCGGGTTTTTTTGGTCTCCCCAACATTTTTGGGAATCCAGGATGTTCTGGGGTGAATCCTGGGCAATTTTGGGGTGAATTCTGTATCACTTTGGGGTGATTTCACTGGGATTTTGGGGCGATTTTGGCACATTTTGAGCCAATTTTTGTGGGAATTTCAGGAATTTTGGGGGGATTTGGGGGTTTTTTGGGTTCCTGGGTATTTTTGGGGGTCCCCCTGACCTGACCTGGCCCATGAAGTCGTCGTAGAGGGGGATTTTGGGGTGATTTGGGTGCATTTTGAGCTACATTTAGGGGCAACTTGGCTACGTTTTGAGCAGATTTGGACTCCAAATGAGTAAAATTTTGGGGATTTTTGTGGGAATTTCAGGAATTTTGGGGGGATTTTTGGTTTTTTTTGGGTTCCAGAATATTTTTGGGAATCCAGGATGTTCTGGGGTGAATCCTGGGCAATTTTGGGGTGAATTCTGTATCACTTTGGGGTGATTTCACTGGGATTTTGGGGCGATTTTGGCACATTTTGAGCGGATTTTGACCCCAAACAAGTAAAATTTGGGGGATTTTTGTGGGAATTTCAGGAATTTTGGGGGGATTTGGGGTTTTTTGGGTTCCTGGGTATTTTTGGGGTCCCCCTGACCTGACCTGGCCCATGAAGTCGTCGTAGAGGGGGATTTTGGGGTGATTTGGGGGCATTTTGGGGCTCTTTCGGCACATTTTGAGCCCATTTGACCTAAAATCCCACAAAATTTGGGGGATTTTTGGGGGAATTTTGGGTGTTTTTTGGTCTCCCAAATTTTTTGGAGTGCCCCCTGACCTGGCCTGGCCCATGAAGTCGTCGTAGAGGGGGATTTTGGGGTGAATTCAGTGACATTTTGGGAGGATTCCAGGTGGATTTAGTGCAATTTTGTCCCCAAATGAGTAAAATTTGGGGGATTTTTGGGGATTTTGGGTTTTTTGGTATCCAGGATATTTTTGGGTGTCCCCCTGACCTGGCCTGGCCCATGAAGTCGTCGTAGAGGGGGATTTTGGGGTGATTTGGGTGCATTCTAGGGCTCTTTTGGCACATTTTGAGCAGATTTGACCTAAAATCCCACAAACTTTGGGGGATTTTTGGGGGAATTTCAGGGTTTTTGGGTTCCTGGGTATTTTTGGGAATCCAGGATGTTCTGGGGTGAATCCTGTGGGATTTTAGGGTGAACCCAGAGGGATTTGGGGGTGATTTCACTGCGATTTTGGGGCAACTTGGCTGCGTTTTGAGCAGATTTTTACCCCAAACGAGTAAAATTTGGAGGATTTTTGGGTGGATTTCGGGGTTTTTTGGTCTCCAGGATATTTTTGGGGTGCCCCCTGACCTGGCCTGGCCCATGAAGTCGTCGTAGAGGAACCTCTGGCGCTTGGAGAGGCGGCACCTGAGGACGTGCTCGTATTTTTTGGGCATTTGCTTCTCCACGTCCACCTTGAGGCGACGGAGCAGGAACGGGCGGAGCACCTGGAAATGGGACAGGTGAGGGGGGATGGGGGGCACCAGGTGAGTCCCCAACCCCCCCAGGTGTGCCCAGGTGTGTGTAAATGATTCCAGGTGTGTGTAAATGATTCCAGGTGTGTGTAAATGATTCCAGGTGTGTGTAAATGATCCCAGGTGTGTGTAAATGCCCCCAGGTGTGTGTAAATGATCCCAGGTGTGTGTAAATGATCCCAGGTGTGTGTAAATGAGTCCAGGTGTGTGTAAATGATCCCAGGTGTGTGTAAATGATCCCAGGTGTGTGTCAATGCCCCCAGGTGTGTCCCAGGTGCCCCACCTTGTGCAGCCTCTTGACCAGGCCGTCGTTGTACTCCTGGCTGCCCTCGATCCACCATCCCCAGGTGTGTGTAAATGATCCCAGGTGTGTGTAAATGATCCCAGGTGTGTGTAAATGATCCCAGGTGTGTGTAAATGATCCCAGGTGTCCCCAGGTGTGTGTCAATGCCCCCAGGTGTGTCCCAGGTAAATGCCCCACCTTGTGCAGCCTCTTGACCAGGCCGTCGTTGTACTCCTGGCTGCCCTCGATCATGCCGGTGAGGGGGTTGTGGAACCACTCCCGGAACTCCCGGTGGGATTGGAACACCCTCGGCATCAGGAAGTGCATCAGGGACCAGAGCTCCATCAGAGAGTTCTGCAGCGGCGTCCCCGTCAGCAGCAGCCGGCGCTGGCTGGGGGGGACAGGTGAGGGGACAGGTGAGGGTCACACCTGGGCACCCACAGGTAACCATCAGGTAGAACTGGGAGGCACTGGGAGGGACTGGGAGCCCCCACAGCTCCATCAGAGAGTTCTGCAGCGGCGTCCCCGTCAGCAGCAGCCGGCGCTGGCTGGGGGGGACAGGGGAGGGTCACACCTGGGCACCCACAGGTGACACCTGGGCACCCACAGGTGACACCTGGGCACCCACAGGTGATCCCAGAGCACCCACAGGTGACACCTGGGCACCCCCAGGTAACTACAGGTAACTCTCAGGTTAACTGGGAGGGACTGGGAGGGACTGGGAGGGACTGGGAGCCCCCACAGCTCCATCAGAGAGTTCTGCAGCGGCGTCCCCGTCAGCAGCAGCCGGCGCTGGCTGGGGGGGACAGGGGAGGGTCACACCTGGGCACCCACAGGTGACACCTGAGCACCCACAGGTGACACCTGAGCACCCACAGGTGACCTACAGGTAACCCTCAGGTAACCACAGGTGACACCTGAGCACCCATAGGTGACCCCTAGGCACCCACAGGTAACCACCAGGTAGTTACAGGTAACCCTCAGGTAGCCACAGGTGACCCCAGAGCACCCACAGGTGATCCCAGAGCACCCACAGGTGACACCTGGGCACCCACAGGTGACCCCAGAGCACCCACAGGTGACACCTGAGCACCCACAGGTAACCTACAGGTAGTTACAGTTTGGTACAGGTAACTTTTAGGTACCCACAGGTGACCCCTGCAGGTAGCCACAGGTAGATACAGGGGACCCCAGAGCACCCACAGGTAACCTCAGAGCACCCACAGGTGACACCTGGGCACCCACAGGTGACCCCAAAGCACCCATAGGTAACCTACAGGTAGTTACAGGTAGGTACAGGTAACTCTCAGGTAGACACAGGTGACACCTGGGCATCCATAAGTAACCTACAGGTAGTTACAGGTAGGTACAGGTAAGTCTCAGGTACCCACAGGTGACCCCAGAGCACCCACAGGTGACACCTGAGCACCCACAGGTAACCTACAGGTAGTTACAGGTACCCACAGGTAGCCACAAGTAACTCTCAGGTACCCACAGGTGACCCCAGAGCACCCCCAGGTGACCCCAGAGCACCCCCAGGTGACAGCTGGGTACCCACAGGTAACCCCAGAGCACCCACAGGTGACACCTGGGCACCCACAGGCGACACCTGAGCACCCACAGGTCACACCTGGGCACCCACAGGTGACCCCTGAACACCCACAGGTGACACCTGGGTACCCCCAGGTAGCCACAGGTAACTCTCAGGTAGCCACAGGTGACACCTGGGCACCCACAGGTGACACCTGGGCACCCACAGGTGACCCCAGAGCACCCACAGGTGACCCCAGAGCACCCACAGGTGACACCTGGGCACCCACAGGTGACCCCAGAGCACCCACAGGTGACACCTGGGCACCCACAGGTAACCTCAGAGCACCCACAGGTAACACCAGAGTACCCACAGGTGACACCTGGGTACCCACAGGTGACCCCAGAGCACCCACAGGTGACCCCAGAGCACCCACAAGTGACACTTGGGTACCCACAGGTCACACCTGAGCACCCACAGGTGATCCCAGAGCACCCACAGGTGATCCCAGAGCACCCACAAGTAACCCTCAGGTACCCACAGGTAACCACCAGGTACCCACAGGTAACCCCTGAGCACCCAAAAGCATCCAAAGGTACCCACAGGTGACCCCAGAGCACCCACAGGTCACACCTGAGCACCCACAGGTGACCCCAGAGCACCCATAGGTGACCCCAGAGCACCTACAGATTACCACCAGGTACCCACAGGTAACCTACAGGTACCCACAGGTGACACCTGGGCACGCACAGGTAACCCCAGATGTGTCCCAGTTCCCTCCCAGTCCCTCCCAGTTCCCTCCAGGTGCCCCCAGGTGTGCCCAGGTGTGCCCTTTTCCCACCTGTTGAAGTCGAGCAAGGACTGGAAGAAGTTCTGGATGTTCTGGGGCCTCCTCCAGGACCAGGAACTTCCATTTCCCTCCCAGTTCCCTCCCAGTCCCCCCAGTTCCCTCCCAGTCCCTCCAGGTGCTCTCAGGTGCCCCCAGGTGTGCCCAGGTGTGCCCCCTTTACCTGTTGAAGTCGAGTAGGGACTTGAAGAAGTTCTGGATGTTCTGGGGCCTCCTCCAGAACCAGCAACTTCCATTTCCCTCCCAGTTCCCTCCCAGTTCCCTCCCAGTGCCCCCAGGTGCTCTCAGGTGTCCCCAGGTGCCCCCAGGTGTGCCCTTTTCCCACCTGTTGAAGTTGAGTAAGGACTTGAAGAAGTTCTGGCTGTTCTGGGGCCTCCTCCAGGACCAGCAACTTCCAGTTCCCTCCCAGTTCCCTCCCAGTCTCTCCCAGTCCCCCCAGGTGCTCTCAGGTGCCCCCAGGTGTGCCCAGGTGTGCCCCCTTTACCTGTTGAAGTTGAGCAGGGACTGCCAGCGCTGGGACTTGATGTTCTGGGCCTCCTCCAGGACCAGGAACTTACAGTTCCCTCCCAGTTCCCTCCCAGTCCCTCCCAGTCCCCCCAGGTGTGCCCAGGTGCCCCCAGGTATGCCCAGGTGTGCCCCCTTTACCTGTTGAAGTCAAGCAAGGACTTGAAGAAGTTCTGGGGCCTCCTCCAGGACCAGCAACTTCCAGTTCCCTCCCAGTTCCCTCCCAGTCCCTCCCAGTCTCTCCCAGTCCCCCCAGGTGCTCTCAGGTGCCCCCAGGTGTGCCCAGGTGCCCCCAGGTGTGCCCCCTTTACCTGCTGAAGCCGAGCAGGGACTTGAAGAAGTTCTGGATGTTCTGGGGCCTCCTCCAAGACCAGGAACTTCCATTTCCCTCCCAGTCCCTCCCAGTCCCCTCCAGGTGCCCCCAGGTGCTCTCAGGTGCCCCCAGGTGTGCCCAGGTGTGCCCCCTCTACCTGTTGAAGTCAAACAAGGACTTGAAGAAGTTCTGGCTGTTCTGGGGCCTCCTCCAGGACCAGGAACTTCCATTTCCCTCCCAGTTCCCTCCCAGTTCCCTCCCAGTTCCCTCCCAGTGCCCCCAGGTGCCCCCAGGTGCTCTCAGGTGCCCCCAGGTGTGCCCAGGTGTGCCCAGGTGTGCCCCCTTTTCCCACCTGTTGAAGTCGAGCAAGGGCTTGAAGAAGTTCTGGCTGTTCTGGGGCCTCCTCCAGGACCAGGAACTTCCATTTCCCTCCCAGTCCCTCCCAGTTCCTCCCAGTTCCCCTCCAGGTGCCCCCAGGTGCCCCCAGGTGCCCCCAGGTGTGCCCAGGTGTGCCCTTTTCCCACCTGTTGAAGTTGAGCAGGGACTGCCAGCGCTGGGACTTGAAGTTCTTGATGTTCTGGGGTCTCCTCCAGGACCAGGAACTTCCATTTCCCTCCCAGCCCCTCCCAGGTGCCCCCAGGTGTGCCCAGGTGTGCCCAGGTGCTCTCAGGTGCCCCCAGGTGTGCCCTTTTCCCACCTGTTGAAGTTGAGCAGGGACTGCCAGCGCTGGGACTTGAAGTTCTTGATGTTCTGGGCCTCGTCCAGGATCAGGAACTTCCATTTCCCTCCCAGTTCCCTCCGAGTTCCCTCCAGGTGCCCCCAGGTGTGCCCAGGTGTGCCCAGGTGTGCCCTTTTCCCACCTGTTGAAGTTGAGCAGGGACTGCCAGCGCTGGGACTTGAAGTTCTGGATGTTCTGGGCCTCCTCCAGGACCAGCAACTTCCAGTTCCCTCCCAGTCCCTCCCAGGTGCCCCCAGGTGCCCCCAGGTGTGCCCAGGTGTGCCCAGGTGTGCCCTTTTTTACCTGTTGAAGTTGAGCAGGGACTGCCAGCGCTGGGACTTGAAGTTCTTGATGTTCTGGGCCTCGTCCAGGATCAGGAACTTCCATTTCCCTCCCAGTTCCCTCCCAGTCCCTCCAGGTGCCCCCAGGTGTGCCCAGGTGCCCCCAGGTGTGCCCAGGTGTGCCCTTTTCTCACCTGTTGAAGTTGAGCAGGGACTGCCAGCGCTGGGACTTGAAGTTCTTGATGTTCTGGGCCTCGTCCAGGATCAGGTACTTCCAGTTCTTGCGCCGGAAGGCCTGGTGGTCCTGCAGGACCAGCTTGTAGGACGTGATGCACACGTGGAACGCGTTCGGCTTCGTCCACCCCTGACAGGTGAGGCACAGGTGACCCCCAGGTGACCCCCAGGTGACCCCCAGCCCCCCCAGGTGCCCCCAGGTGGTCCTGCAGGACCAGCTTGTAGGACGTGATGCACACGTGGAACGCTGCTCGGCTCGGTCCACCCCTGACAGGTGAGGCACAGGTGACCCCAGGTGACTCCCAGGTGACCCCCAGCCCCCAGGTGCCCCCAGGTGGTCCTGCAGGACCAGCTTGTAGGACGTGATGCACGCGTGGAACGCTGTTCGCTGTCGTCCACCCTGACAGGTGAGGCACAGGTGACCCCCAGGTGACCCCAGGTGACCCCAGCCCCCAGGTGCCTCCCAGGTGGTCCTGCAGGACCAGCTTGTAGGACGTGATGCACACGTGGAACGCGTTTGGCTTCATCCACCCCTGACAGGTGAGGCACAGGTGAGTCACAGGTGACCCCCAGGTGACCCCCAGCCCCCCCAGGTGGTCCTGCAGGACCAGCTTGTAGGACGTGATGCACACGTGGAACGCGTTCGGCTTCGTCCACCCCTGACAGGTGAGGACCAGGTGAGTCACAGGTGACCCCCAGGTGACCCCCAGGTGACCCCCAGACCCCCCAGGTGCCCCCCTGGTGGTCCTGCAGGACCAGCTTGTAGGACGTGATGCACACGTGGAACGCGTCGCTTCTGTCCACCCCTGACAGGTGAGGCCCAGGTGAGTCACAGGTGACCCCCAGGTGACCCCCAGGTGACCCCCAGACCCCCCAGGTGGTCCTGCAGGACCAGCTTGTAGGACGTGATGCACACGTGGAACGCGTTCGGCTTCGTCCACCCCTGACAGGTGAGGCCCAGGTGAGTCACAGGTGACCCCCAGACCACCCAGGTGACCCCCAGACCCCCCAGGTGCCCCCCAGGTGGTCCTGCAGGACCAGCTTGTAGGACGTGATGCACACGTGGAACGCGTTCGGCTTCGTCCACCCCTGACAGGTGAGGCACAGGTGACCCCCAGGTGACCCCCAGGTGACCCCCAGACCCCCCCCAGGTGCCCCCCAGGAGGTCCTGCAGGACCAGCTTGTAGGACGGATGCACACGTGGAACGCGTTCGGCTTCGTCCACCCCTGACAGGTGAGGCACAGGTGACCCCCAGACTCCCCAGGTGACCCCAAGGATGATCCATCCCCAACCCTGTAAATGAGTCCCTATGGATCCCTGTGGATGTCAATGGATCCAGGTGTGTCCCAGGTGTGTCCCAGGTGACCCCCAGACCCCCCAGGTGAACAGGTGACATCCTACAGGTGACACTCCTATAATCCCCCAGGTGAGTCCCTATGGATCCCAATGGATGTCAATGGATCCAGGTGTGTCCCAGGTGACCCCAGACTCCCCCAGGTGACCCCACTTGGAATCCCCAGGTGAGTCCCTATGGATCCCAATGGATGCCAATGGATCCAGGTGATGGCCCAGGTGTGTCCCAGGTGACTCCCAGACCCCCCAGGTGACCCCACTTGGAATCCCCCAGGTGAGTCCCTATGGATCCCTGTGGATGTCAATGGATCCAGGTGTGGCCCAGGTGTGTCCCAGGTGACCCCCAGACCCCCCAGGTGACCCCACTTGGAATCCCCCAGGTGAGTCCCTATGGATCCCCATGGATGTCAATGGATCCAGGTGTGTCCCAGGTGTGTCCCAGGTGACCCCAGACCCCCCAGGTGACCCCCAGACCCCCAGGTGACCCCACTCACAATCCCCCAGGTGAGTCCCTATGGATCCCAATGGATGTCAATGGATCCAGGTGTGTCCCAGGTGACCCCCAGACCCCCCAGGTGACCCCACTTGGAATCCCCCAGGTGAGTCCCTATGGATCCCAATGGATCCAGGTGTGTCCCAGGTGACCCCCAGACCCCCAGGTGACCCCCAGACCCCCAGGTGACCCCACTCACAATCCCCCAGGTGAGTCCCTATGGATCCCAATGGATCCAGGTGTGTCCCAGGTGACCCCCAGACCCCCCAGGTGACCCCCAGACCCCCCAGGTGACCCCCAGGTGACCCCCAGACTCCCCAGGTGACCCCACTTAGAATCCCCCAGGTGAGTCCCTATGGATCCCTATGGATGTCAATGGATCCAGGTGTGTCCCAGGTGTGTCCCAGGTGTGTCCCTATAGATCCCAACATCCCCAGGTGTGTCTCTATAAATCCAGGTGTGTCCCAGGTGTATCCCTACAAATCCAGGTGCATCCCAGGTGACTCCCTCCATCTCCCACCATCTCCAGGTGTATCCCAGGTGTGTCTCAGATGTCTCCCTATAGATCCCAATGGATCCAGGTGTGCCCCAGGTGTATCCGTACAAATCCAGGTGTGTCCCTATAGATCCAGGTGTGGCCCAGGTGTGTCCCTCCATCTCCCACCGCCTCCAGGTATGTCCCAGGTAATTTCCCTCCATCTCCCAACATCTCCAGGTGTGCCCCAGGTGTTTCCCTATAGATCCCAACATCCCCAGGTGTGTCCCAGGTGTGTCACTATAGATCCAGGTGTGTCCCAGGTAACTCCTTCCATCACCCAACATCTCCAGGTGCATCCCAGATGTACCCCAGGTGTGTCCCAGGTGTGTCCCTACAGATCCAGGTGTGTCCCAGGTGTGTCCCAGGTGCATCCCAGGTGATTCCCTCCATCTCCCACCACCTCCAGGTGCATCCCAGGTGTGTCCCAGGTGTCTCCCTAGAGATCCCAATGGATCCAGGTGTGTCCCAGGTGTGTCCCTATAGAACCAGGTGCATCCCAAGTGTGTCCCTATGGATCCAGGTGTGTTCCAGGTGTGTCCCTCTATCTCCCAACATCTCCAGGTATGCCCCAGGTGTGCCCCAGGTGTGTCTCAGGTGATTCCCTCCTCCCAACATCTCCAGGTGTGCCATAGGTGTGTCCCTACAAATCCAGGTGTGCCCCAGGTGTGTCCCTATGGATCCAGGTGTGTTCCAGGTGTGTCCCAGGTGTTTCCCTCCATCTCCCAACATCTCCAGGTGTGCCCCAGGTGTGTCCCAGGTGATTCCCTCCATCTCCCAATATCTCCAGGTGTGTCCCAGGTGTGTCCCAGGTCACCCCCAGACCCCCCAGGTGACCCCCAGACCCCCCAGGTAAAGAGGTGATACCCTACAGGTGACACTCCTATAATCCCCCAGGTGAGTCCCTATGGATCCCTATGGATGTCAATGGATCCAGGTGTGTCCCAGGTGTGTCCCAGGTGATCTCCAGACCCCCCAGGTGACCCCACTTGGAATCCCCCAGGTGAGTCCCAATGGATCCCTATGGATGTCAATGGATCCAGGTGTGTCCCAGGTGTGTCCCTACAAATCCAGGTGTGTCCCAGGTGTGTCCCTACAAATCCAGGTATGTCCCAGGTGTGTCCCAGGTGTCTCCCTATAGAACCAGGTGTGTCCCTATGGATCCAGGTGTGTCCCAGGTGTGTCCCTACAGATCCAGGTGTGTCCCAGGTGTGTCCCTACAAATCCAGGTGTGTCCCAGGTGTGTTCAAAGTAACTCCCTCCATCTCCCACCACCTCCAGGTGTATCCCAGGTGTGTCCCAGGTAACTCCCAACATCTCCAGGTGTGTCCCAGGTGTGTCGCAGGTGTGTCCTAGGTGTGTCTCTCCCATTTCCCACCACCTCCAGGTGTGTCTCAAGTGTGTCCCTACAAATCCAGGTGTGTCCCAGGTGTGTCCCTATAGATCCCAACGTCTCCAGGTGTGTCCCAGGTGTGTCCCAGGTGTATCCCTACAAATCCAGGTGTGTCCCAGGTGTGTTCCTATGGATCCAGGTGTGTCTCAAGTGTGTCCCTACAAATCCAGGTGTGTCCCAGGTGTGTCCCAGGTGTGTTCCTATGGATCCAGGTGTGTCCCAGGTGTATCCCTACAAATCCAGGTGTGTCCCAGGTGTGTCCCAGGTGACTCCCTCCACCTCCCACCACTTCCAGGTGTATCCCAATGGCTCCAGGTGACTCCCTCCACCCCCAGGTGTGTCCCAGGTGTGTCCCAGGTGTGTCCCTCCATCTCCTACCACCTCCAGGTGTATCCCAGGTGTGTCCCTACAGATCCAGGTGTGTCCCAGGTGTGTCCCTATGGATCCAGGTGCATCCCAGGTGCGTCCCACCCCCCCCAGGTGAGGCTCTCACCTGTCTCTTGAGCCGCCGCTCCTTCTGGGCGCCGTAGTAGGTGAGGATCTTGAAGCTGGGACACCAGCGCTTGAGCTCCATCTCCCAGTTCAGCATCACCGACGTGGGCACGATGATCAGGTGAGGGCCCCAGCTACCTGTCCAGGGCAAAGAGGTACACCTGAGACCCTAAATGTCCCCAGAACCTGCCCAGGTGTCACCCAAAGGTGCCCAGGTGAGTCCCCCCCCATCCCTTCCCCCGAGCTCCATCTCCCAGTTCAGCATCACCGACGTGGGCACGATGATCAGGTGAGGGCCCCAGCTACCTGTCCAGGGCACAGGGGCACACCTGAGACCCCCAACCTGCCCAAAACCTGCCCAGGTGAGTCCTGGACACCCCAGAACCTGCCCAGGTGAGTCCCCCCCCACCCCTTCCCCCGAGCTCCATCTCCCAGTTCAGCATCACCGACGTGGGCACGATGATCAGGTGAGGGCCCCAGCTACCTGTCCAGGGCAAACAGGTACACCTGAGACCCTCAACCTGCCCAAAACCTGCCCAAAACCTGCCCAGGTGAGTCCCCACCCCCCCCTTCCCCCTGAGCTCCATCTCCCAGTTCAGCATCACCGACGTGGGCACGATGATCAGGTGAGGGCCCCAGCTACCTGTCCAGGGCAAACAGGTACACCTGAGTCCCTAAATGTCCCCAAAACCTGCCCAGGTGAGTCCCCAACCCCCCCATTCCCAGAGCTCCATCTCCCAGTTCAGCATCACCGACGTGGGCACGATGATCAGGTGAGGGCCCCAGCTACCTGTCCAGGGCACAGGGGCACACCTGAGACCCCCAACCTGCCCAGAACCTGCCCAAAACCTGCCCAGGTGAGTCCTGGACACCCCAAAACCTGCCCAGGTGAGTCCCCACCCCCCCCTCCCCCCGAGCTCCATCTCCCAGTTCAGCATCACCGACGTGGGCACGATGATCAGGTGAGGGCCCCAGCTACCTGTGCAGGGCCAAAACTGACCAGGTGAGTCCCTCAACCTGCCCAAAACCTGCCCAGGTGGGTCCTGGACACCCCCCATGAACCTTAAAGGTGCTCAGGTGTCACCTAAAGGTGCCCAGGTGTGCCCTGAAGGTGCTCAGGTGGCACCTAAAGGTGCCCAGGTGGGTCTCAGGTGGCTCCTGGACACCCCCCATGAACCTTAAAGGTGCTCAGGTGTCACCTAAAGAGCCCAGGTGGGTCTTGGAGACCTCAAAACCTGCCCAGGTGTCACCTAAAGGTGCCCAGGTGGGTCCTGGAGACCCCAAAAAGGTGTCCAGGTGGGTCTCAGGTGGGTCCTGGACATCCCCCATGAACCCTAAAGGTGCCCAGGTGGGTCCTGGAGACCCCAAAAAGGTGCCCAGGTGGGTCTCAGGTGGCTCCTGGACACCCCTCACGAACCCTAAAGGTGCTCAGGTGTCACCTAAAGGTGCTCAGGTGGGTCCTGGACACTCCCCATGAACCCTAAAGATGCCCAGGTGGGTCCTGAAGACCCCAAAAAGGTACCCAGGTGGGTCTCAGGTGAGTCCTGGACACCCCTCATGAACCCTAAAGGTGCCCAGGTGAGTCCTGGACACCCCCCATGAACTCTAAAGGTGCTCAGGTGGCACCTAAAGGAGCCCAGGTGGGTCCTGGAGACCCCAAAACCTGCTCGGGTGTCACCTAGAGGTACCCAGGTAGTTCCTGGACACCCCTCATGAACCCTAAGGGTGCTCAGGTGTCACCTAAAGGTGCCAAGGTGTGTCCTGGAGACCCCAAAAAGGTATCCAGGTGAGTCCTGGACACCCCCCATGAACCCTAAAGGTGCCCAGGTGTCACCTAAAGATGCCCAGGTGTGTCCTGGAGACCCCAAAAAGGTGCCCAGGTGAGTCCTGGACACCCCCCATGAACCCTAAAGGTGCCCAGGTGTCACCTAAAGGTGCCCAGATGGGTCCTGGAGACCCCAAAAAGGTGCCCAGGTGAGTCCTGGACAACCCCCATGAACCCTAAAGGTGCCCAGGTGTCACCTAAAGGTGCCCAGATGGGTCCTGGAGACCCCAAAAAGGTACCCAGGTGGGTCTCAGGTGGCTCCTGGACACCCCCCACGAACCCTAAAGGTGCTCAGGTGGCACCTAAAGGAGCCCAGGTGGGTCCTGGAGACCCCAAAAAGGTGCCCAGGTGAGTCCTGGACAACCCCCATGAACCCTAAAGCAGCCCAGGTGGGTCCTGGACACCCCAAAACCTGGTCAGGTGTCACCTCAAGGTGCCCAGGTGAGACCTAAAGGTGAGTTTTTAACCCTTCCCACCCCATTTTTTCCCCAATTTTCCCCATTTTTTCCCAGATTTCCCCCTCTCCTCAGGGTTTTCTCCCCTTTCCCCGGGGTTCTCTCCCCCCCAGGTGTGCCCAGGTGAGCTCAGGTGACCCCCAGGTGTCTCCCAGCACCTTTTTGGGGGGTCTCTCACCCCTTTTTAACCCTTTCCACCCCACTTTTTCCCACATTTCACCCATTTTTTCCCAAATTTCACCTTTTTTTTGAGGTTTTTCCCCATTTTCTCAGGGTTTTCTCCCCCCCAGGTGTGCCCAGGTGAGCTCAGGTGACCCCCAGGTGTCTCCCAGGACCTTTTTGGGGGGTCTCTCACCCATTTTTAACCCTTTCCACCCCATTTTTTCCCAGATTTCACTTCTTTTTTCTCAAATTTCACCTTTTTTTTGAGCTTTTTCCCCATTTTCTCAGGGTTTTCTCCTCCCAGTTGTGCTCAGGTGACCCCCAGGTGTCTCCCAGCACCTTTTTGGGGGATTTCCCACCCCATTTTTAACCCTTTCCACCTTATTTTTTCCCAGATTTCCCCCTCTCCTCAGGGTTTTCTCCCCTTTTCTTGGGGTTTTCCCCCCCCCAGGTGTGCCCAGGTGAGCTCAGGTGACCCCCAGGTGTCTCCCAGCACCTTTTTGGGGGGCTCCTCACCTATTTTTAGGGGTTTCTCACCCCTTCCCACCCCATTTTTTCCCTGATTTCCCCCATTTTTTCCCAGATTTCCCCATTTCCTCAGGGTTTTCTCCAGATTTCTCCCCTTTTTTGGAATTTTCTCCTCCCCAGGTGTGCCCAGGTGAGCTCAGGTGACCCCCAGTTGTCTCCCAGCACTTTTTAGGGGGTCTCTCACTCATTTTTAACCCTTTCCACCCCATTTTTCCCAGATTTCACCCATTTTTTCCCAAATTTCCCCATTTCCTCGGGGTTTTTTCCCCTTTCCCCGTGGTTCTCTCCCCCCCAGGTGTGCCCACCTTTCTCGCAGGCCAGGTGTGCCAGCAGGGAGATGGTCTGGATGGTCTTGCCCAGCCCCATCTCGTCAGCCAGGATCCCGTTCAGCTTCTTCTCGTACATGGTCACCAGCCAGTCCAGCCCGATGTGCTGGTACTCCCTGAGCGTGCCCCGCAGCAGGTGGGGGATGGGCGTCTTCACCTGGCACAGGTGAGGTCACCAGGTGAGATTCAGACCCCCCAGGTGACCCCCCTGGTACTCCCTGAGCGTGCCCCGCAGCAGGTGGGGGATGGGCGTCTTCACCTGGCACAGGTGAGACCCCCAGGTGAGATTCAGACCCCCCAAATCACCCCCAGACCCCCCAGGTGACCCCACTCAAAATCCCCCAGGTGACCCCCCTGGTACTCCCTCAGCGTGCCCCGCAGCAGGTGGGGGATGGGCGTCTTCACCTGGCACAGGTGAGACCCCCAGGTGAGATTCAGACCCCCCAAATCACCCCCAGACCCCAGGTGACCCCACTCAAAATCCCCAGGTGACCCCCCTGGTACTCCCTGAGCGTGCCCCGCAGCAGGTGGGGGATGGGCGTCTTCACCTGGCACAGGTGAGACCCACAGGTGAGATTTGGGGTCCTCAGGTGACCCCCAAACCCCCCAGGTGACCCCTCCCAGGTGACCCCCCTGGTACTCCCTCAGCGTGCCCCGCAGCAGGTGGGGGATGGGCGTCTTCACCTGGCACAGGTGAGACCCTCAGGTGACCCCCAGACCCCCCAGGTGACCCCCAGACCCCCCAGGTGACCCCACGGATGATCCATCCCCAACCCTGTAAATGAGTCCCTATGGATCCCTATGGATGCCAATGGATCCAGGTGTGCCCAGGTGTGTCCCTATGGATCCCAATGTGTCCAGGTGTGTCCCTAAGGATCCCAGTGGATCCAGGTGTGTCCAGGAGTGCCCCCATGGATCCAGGTGTGTCCCTATGGATCCCAATGAATCCAGGTGTGTCTCAGGTGTGCCCAAATGTGTCCAGGTGTGTCCCTAAGGATCCCAATGGATCCAGGTGTATCCCAGGTGTGCTCAGGTGTGCCCAGGTGTGCCCCTCACCTGTGTGGTGGCCAGGGTGTACCCCTTGGGCTGGAGGCTGTGCCCAGGTGTTCCCAGGTGTGCCCAGGTGTATCCAGGTGTATCTGAGCTGTTCCCAGGTGTACCCAGGTGTATCTGAGCTGTTCCCAGCTGTACCCAGGTGTGCCCAGGTGTACCCAGGTGTATCTGAGCTGTTCCCAGCTGTACCCAGGTGTGCCCAGGTGTGCCCCTCACCTGTGTGGTGGCCAAGGTGTACCCCTTGGGCTGGAGGCTGTGCCCAGGTGTGCCCAGGTGTACCCAGGTGTATCTGAACTGTTCCCAGGTGTACCCAGGTGTGCCCAGCTTTATCTGAGCTGTTCCCAGGTGTACCCAGGTGTGCCCAGGTGTGCCCCTCACCTGTGTGGTGGCCAGGGTGTACCCCTTGGGCTGGAGGCTGTGCCCAGGTGTACCCAGGTGTGCCCAGGTGTGTCCCCATGGATCCAGGTGTACCCCCATGAATCCAAGGTGTGCCCAGGTGTACCCAGGTGTACCCAGGTGTACCCAGGTGTGCCCCTCACCTGTGTGGTGGCCAGGGTGTACCCCTTGGGCTGGAGGCTGTGCCCAGGTGTACCCAGGTGTGCCCAGGTGTGCCCAGGTGTGTCCCCATGGATCCCAATGGACCCAGCTGTGCCCAGGTGTATCTGAACTGTTCCCAGCTGTACCCAGGTGTGCCCAGGTGTACCCAGGTGTGCCCAGGTGTGCCCCTCACCTGTGTGGTGGCCAGGGTGTACCCCTTGGGCTGGAGGCTGTGCCCAGGTGTGCCCAGGTGTACCCAGGTGTATCCCCATGGATCCAGATGTATCTCAGGTGTTCCCAGGTGTGCCCAGGTGTGCCCCTCACCTGTGTGGTGGCCAGGGTGTACCCCTTGGGCTGGAGGCTGTGCCCAGGTGTGCCCAGGTGTACCCAGGTGTATCCAGGTGTATCTCAGCTGTTCCCAGCTGTATCTGAGGTGTACCCAGGTGTACCCAGGTGTACCCAGGTGTGCCCAGGTGTGCCCCTCACCTGTGTGGTGGCCAGGGTGTACCCCTTGGGCTGCAGACTCTCAGCAGCAGCGGCGATGTCGCTGATCTCCTTCTTGGGGGCGGAGCCTCCTCCCCCGGCCCCGCCCCCTCCCCCTGCACCGGTGGGCGGGGCCGGGGCGGGGCCATCGGCGGCCCCGCCCCCTCCTGGGGCCACCTGGGCGGGAGGGGCGGGGTCTTCTGCTCCTCCTCCTCCTCCTGCCCCTCCCCCTCCTCCTCCTCCTCCTCCTCCTTCCTCCTCCTCTTCCTCATCATCGTCATCATCTTCATCTTCATCCTCCTCATCCTCGTCCTCCTCCTCCTCCTCCTCGTCCTCCTCGCTGTCGCCCCCCGGGGACTCTGGGGGAGGGGGCACAGGTGAGGTTTGGGGGGGTTACAGGTGAGGTTTGGGGGTTACAGGTGAGTTTGGGGGGTTACAGGTGAGTTTGGGGGTTACAGGTGAGGTTTGGGGGGTTACAGGTGAGTTTGGGGGTTACAGGTGAGTTTGGGGGGTTACAGGTGAGGTTTGGGGGTTACAGCTGAGTTTGGGGGTTACAGGTGAGGTTTGGGGGATTACAGGTGAGGTTTGGGGGTTACAGGTGAAGTTTGGGGGTTACAGGTGAGTTTGGGGGTTACAGGTGAGGTTTGGGGGTTACAGGTGAGTTTGGGGGTTACAGGTGAAGTTTGGGGGGTTACAGGTGAGGCTTGGGGGGTTACAGGTGAGGTTTGGGGGGTACAGGTGAGTTTGGGGGTTACAGGTGAGTTTGGGGGTTACAGGTGAGGTTTTGGGGTTACAGGTGAGGTTTTGGGGTTAAAGGTGAGGTTCAGGGGTTACAGGTGAGGTTTGGGGGTTACAGGTGAGTTTGGGGGGTTACAGGTGAGGTTTGGGGGTTACAGGTGAGTTTGGGGGTTACAGGTGAGGTTTGGGGGTTAGAGGTGAGGTTTGGGGGTTACAGGTGAGTTTGGGGGTTACAGGTGAGGTTTAGGGGTTACAGGTGAGGTTTGGGGGTTACAGGTGAGTTTGGGGGTTACAGGTGAGGTTTGGGGGTTACAGGTGAGTTTGGGGGTTACAGGTGAGTTTGGGGGTTACAGGTGAGGTTTGGGGGTTACAGGTGAGGTTTGGGGGGGTTACAGGTGAGGTTTGGGGGGGTTAGAGGTGAGGTTTGGGGGTTACAGGTGAGTTTGGGGGGTTACAGGTGAGGTTTAGGGGGTTACAGGTGAGTTTGGGGGGGAGGGGCCACAGCAGGAGCCCAAAAGTCGCAGCTGACCCCAAAAATCCTCCCCAGGTAAACCCAAAACCTCTTCAGGTGACCCCAAAACCCCCCCAAAAACCCTCCAGGTAACCCCAAAACCCTCCCAGGTGACCCCAAAACCACCCAAAAAAGCCTTAAAGCGACCCCAAAACTTCCTCAGGTAACCCCAAAACCCTCCCAGGTGACCCCAAAACTCTCCCAGGTAACCCCAAACTCCCCCAGGTGACCCCAAAACCCCACCCTGGAGACCCCAAAACCCCTTCAGGTGACCCCAAAAGCCCTTCAGGTGCCCCCAAACCCCCCCAGGTGTGCCCAGGAGACCCCAACCCCCCCCCAAATGTGCCCAGGCGTGCCCAGGTGTGCCCAGGTGACCCCAAAACCCCACCCAGGGGACCCCAAAATCCCACCTAGGTGACCCCAAAAACCTTTCAGGGGCCCCCAACCTCCCCCCAGGTGTGCCCAGGTGTGCCCAGGTGACCCCCAAACCCCCCCAGGTGTGCCCAGGTGACCCCTAAAGCTCCACCAAGGGGACCCCAAAACCCCTTCAGGTGACTCCAACCCCCCTCCAGGTGTGCCCAGGAGACCCCAAACTCCTCCCAGGTGTGCCCAGGAGATCCCAACCCCCCAGGTATGCCCAGGTGTGCCCAGGTGACCCCAAAACCCCATCCAAGGGACCCCAAAACCCTTTCAGGTGACCCCAAACTCCTCCCAGGTGTGCCCAGGTGACCCCAAAACCCCTTCAGGTGACCCCAACCCCCCTCCAGGTGTGCCCAGGTGCGCCCAGAAGACCCCAAAGCCCCCCCCAGGGGACCCCAAAACCCCACCCAGGGGGCACCAAAACCCCCCAAACCACCCCAAAACCCCTTCAGGTAACCCCAAACCCCTCCCAGGCATGCCCAGGTGTGCCCAGGAGACCCCAAACCCCTCCCAGGTGTGCCCAGGCGTGCCCAAGTGTGCCCAGGTGTGCCCAAATGACCCCAAAACATCACCCAAGGGATCCCAAAACCTCCCAAAACACCCCAAAACCCCTTCAGGTGACCCCAAAACCCCTTCAGGTGACCCCAAACCCCTCCCAGGTGTGCCCAGGTGTGCCCAGGTGACCCCAAACCCCTCCCAGGTGTGCCCAGGTGTGTCCAGGTGTGCCCAGGTGACCCCCAAACCCCTCCCAGGTGTGCCCAGGTGTGCCCAGGTGACCCCGAAAGCCCCCCCAGGTGTGCCCAGGTGACCCCAAAACCCCTTCAGATGACCCCCAAAGCCCCCTCAGGTGTGCCCAGGTGACCCCCAAAGCCCCCCCAGGTGTGCCCAGGTGACCCCAAAACCCCTTCAGATGACCCCCAAAGCCCCCCCAGGTGTGCCCAGGTGACCCCCAAAGCCCCCCCAGGTGTGCCCAGGTGACCCCAAAACCCCTTCAGATGACCTCAAATCCCCCCCAGGTGTGCCCAGGCGTGCCCAGGTGTGCCCAGGAGAACCCAAATCCCCCCCAGGCGTGCCCAGGTGTGCCCAGGTGTGCCCAGGTGCGGTACCTGAGCGGGTGCTGCTGGCGCCGGGGCGGAGTCGCCAGTCGGCGAAGTCGGCGCGCCGCCGTAGCGCTGGAGCAGCTCCTCCATCGGCAGAGCACCTGTAGAAACACACCTGGGGGGTCACCTGGGGGATTTGGGGGGATTTGAGGGGATTTGGGGGAGATTTGGGGGGGATTTGGGGGGATTTGAGATCATTTTGGGGGGTTATTTATGGGTTTAGGGGGAGATTTGGGGGGATTTGGAGCAGCTCCTCCATCGGCAGAGCACCTGGAAAAACACCTGGGAACTCACCTGGGGGGCACCTGTGGGGGTTTGGGAGGGATTTGGGGGGGATTTGGGAGGATTTGGGGGGATTTTGGGGGAATTTGGGGGATTTTTGGGGATTTGGGGGGTTTAGGGGTTATTTGGGGGTTTAGGGGATTTGGAGCAGCTCCTCCATCGGCAGGGCACCTGGAAAACACACCTGGGGGTCACCTGGGGGGCACCTGGGGGGATTTGAGGGGATTTAGGGGATTTTGGGGGATTTGGGGGATTTGAGGGGATTTGGAGGTGATTTGGGGGGGATTTTGGGTTATTTGGGGTTTAGGGGATTTGGAGCAGCTCCTCCATCGGCAGAGCACCTGGAACACACCTGGGGGTCACCTGGGGGGCACCTGGGGAGTTGGGGGGATTTGGGGAGGATTTTGGGGATTTGGAGGTTTTTTTTGGGGAGTTTTGGGAGGTTTCTTGGGGAGTTTTGGGGGGATTTTTGAGGGAATTTTGGGGGGATTTATTGGGGAGTTTTTGGGGGGTTTTTTGGGGAGTTTTGGGGGGTTTCTTGGGGAGTTTTGAGGGTTTTTTTGGGGGATTTTTGTGGGAATTTTGGGGGAGTCTTGGGGGAGTTTTGGAGAGTTTCCTGGGGTGTCTCCACCCACCCTCTCGGGCGAGGTCGTCGAGCTCCTGCTGGTGGTCGACGTCGCCCTCGAGCCGCTCCTGGGCCGCGATCGTGTCCTCCTCGTCCTCCCCTGGGGGGGGAAAAAAACACCCCAAAAACGGTTGAAAACACCCCAAAACCGGCTAAAAATGCCCCAAAAACCACTAAAAATGCCCCAAAACCAGCTGAAAATGCCCCAAAAATGGCCAAAAATGCCCCAAAAGTGCCCTAAAATGCCCCAAAAACGGTTGTAAGTGCCCCAAAAACCGCTAAAAACGCCCCAAAAATAGCTGAAAACGCCCCAAAAACGGCTGAAAATGCCCCAAAAATGGTTGAAAACACCCCAAAAACAGTTGAAAATGCACCAAAAACGGCTGAAAACGCCCCAAAAACGGTTGAAAATACACCAAAAACAGCTGAAAAAGCACCAAAAACAGCTGAAAACGCCCCAAAAATGGCCGAAAATGCCCCAAAAACAGCTAAAACGCTTCAAAAGCGCTGGAGCCCCAAAATGCTCCACCCCTTCAAGATTTTTTCCACCCCCCCCAAAATCTCTTCCAGCCCCCCCAAAACTGGAATTTTTTCCCCTTTTTTCCTCTTACCCGTTTTGCCCCATTTTTGCCTCACCCTCCTCGTCGTCGGCGGCGAATTCGTCGTCGTCCTCGCGGGGTCCCCAGGGCGGGGGGGTCCTGTCCCTCCCAGCAGGGGGCTGAAAGGGGAGGGGCCCCAGTGACACCTCTGGGGTCCTCCCGCGGGGGAGGGTCAGGAGAAGGGGGTCGTTACCTGCGGGGGAGGGGCCCAGGAGGTCCCCCAGGGGTCTCGGCCCCTCCCCCTCTGAGGGCGGGGGGGCGTGGGGAGGTGCCTGCAGGAGAGAAGGGGGAGGGTGGAATGAGGGAGGGGTCGTGGGGAGGGAGTGGCCCCCAGACCCAGGTGGCCCCAGACCCCCAGGTGACACAGATTCACACCCAGGTGACCCCAGACCCCCAGGTGACACCCAGACCCCCAGGTGACTCACCCAGACCCCCAGGTGACACAATTGACACCAGGTGGCACCTAGCCCCAGGTGACACTTGGAAATTTAGTGACACCCAGACCCCCAGGTGACACCCAGACCCCCAGGTGACACAATTGACACCCAGACCCCAGGTGACACAGGTGACACCCAGACCCCCCAGGTGACACAATTGACACCCAGACCCCCCAGGTGACACCAGAGTTGACACCCAGACCCCCTAGGTGACACCCAGACCCCCAGGTGACACAGACCTGACACCCAGGTGACACCCAGACCCCCAGGTGACACAATTGACACCCAGACCCCCCAGGTGACACCCAGACCCCCCAGGTGACACAATTGACACCCAGGTGACACAATTGACACCCAGGTGACACCCAGACCCCCCCAGGTGACACAATTGACACCCAGGTGACACAATTGACACCCAGACCCCCCCCAGGTGACACCCAGACCCCCAGGTGACACCCAGACCCCCAGGTGACACAAATGACACCCAGGTGACACAATTGACACCCAGACCCCCAGGTGACCCCAGACCCCCAGGTGACACAATTGACACCCAGACCCCCAGGTGACACAATTGACACCCAGGTGACACCAATTGGTGACCCCCAGGACCCCCAGGTGACACCCCAGAACCCCAGGTGACACCCAGGTGACACCCAGGTGACACAATTGACACCAACCCCCCAGGTGACACCCAGGTGACACAATTGAACACCCAGACCCCCTAGATCCCATCAGCCCCCCAATTAACCCTCAACCCCCAAATCCCCTTAGCCCCTGCCCCCCGGCCCCTCCCCACCTGAGCAGGTGAGCTGTGGCGCGCCTGCCGGCGGGGGTGGGGAGGGCGCGGGGGGGCGTTGAGGGAGCGGCTCAGCAGGTCCGAGTACTTCTCGGTCTGGCCCACGATGAAGTCGAGCTGCAGGTCCAGAGCCTTCTTCCGCTTCTCCTCCAGCCGAGACTGCTGCTTGAACTGCACCACCTGAGCCACCAGGGGGCATTAACGGTCAGCAGGGGGCATTAACGGTCATTAACAGCCATCAGGGGTCATTAATGGTCATCAGGGGTCATTAACGGTCATCAGGGGTCATCAGGGGTCATTAGCGGTCATCAGGGGTCATTAACGGTCATCAGGGGTCATCAGAGGTCATCAGGGGTCATCAGGGATCATTAACGGTCATCAGGGGTCATCAGGAGTCGTTAACAGTCATCAGGAGTCATTAACGGTCATCAGGGGTCATTAACGGTCATCAGGGGTCATCAGGAGTCATCAGGGGTCATTAGGGGTCATTAGCGGTCATCAGGGGTCATCAGGGGTCATCAGGGGTCATCAACGGTCATCAGGGGTCATCAAGGGTCATTAACGGTCATCAGGGGTCATCAGGAGTCATCAGGGGTCAGCAGGGGTCATTAACGGTCATCAGGGGTCATTAAAGGTCATCAGGGGTCATTAACAGCCATCAGGGGTCATCAGGGATAATTAATGGTCATCAGGGATCATTAACGGTCATCAGGGGTCATCAGGGGTCATTAACGGTCATCAGGGGTCATCAGGAGTCATCAGGGGTCATTAACAGTCATCAGGGGTCACTAACGGTCACCAGGGGTCATCAGGGGTCATTAACGGTCATCAAGGATCATCAGGGGTCATCAGGGGTCATCAGGAGTCATTAATGATCATCAGGAGTCATCAAGAGGCATCAGTGGTCATTAACAGTTATCACAAGTCATCAGGAGTCATCAGGGGTCATTAACAGTCAACAAAAATCAGCTAGAGTCATTAACAGTCATCAGGGGTCATCAGGAGTCATCAGGGGTCATCAGGAGTCATCAGGGGTCATTAACAGTCATCAGGGGTCATCAGGAGTCATTAATGGTCATCAGGAGTCATCAAGAGGCATTAGTGGTCATTAACAGTTATCGCAAGTCATCAGGAGTCATCAGGGGTCATTAACGGTCAACAAAGATCAGCTAGTCATTAACGGTCATCAGGGGTCATTAACGGTCATCAGGGGTCATCAGGGGTCATCAGGGGTCATTAATGGTCACCAGGAGTCATCAGGGGTCATCAGGGGTCATCAGGAGTCATTAACGGTCATCAGGGGTCGTCAGAAGTCATCAGGGCTCATCAGGAGTCATCAGGGATCATCAGGGGTCGTCAGGGGTCATTAATGGTCATCAAAGGTCATCGGGGTCATTAACGGTCATCAGGGGTCAGCAGGGGTCATCAGGGGTCGTTAATGGTCAACAAAGGTCAGTGGGAGTCGTCAATGGTCGTTGGGAATCGTCGCGGGTCGTTGAAGGTCAATCTTGGCCGTTGACCACCATTAACCACCCTTGACCACTATTGACAACCTTTGACCACCACTGACCACCTTTGACTACCCCTGACCACTGTTGACCACCACTAACCACCCTTGACTACCACTAACCACCACTGACTCCCATTCACCACCCCTGACCATCATTGACCACCCTTGACTTCCACTGACCACCCTTAACCACCACTGACCTCCCTTAACCACCATGACCACCACTGACCACCACTAACAACCACTGGCAACCATTGACCACCACTGACCACGCTTGACCACCCCTGACCACCGTTGACCACCACTAACCACCACTGACAACCATTGACCACCACTAACCACCACTGACTCCCATTCACCACCCCTGACCATCATTGACCACCCTTGACTTCCACTGACCACCCTTAACCACCACTGACCTCCCTTAACCACCATGACCACCATTGACCACCACTAACAACCATTGGCAACCATTGACCACCATTGACCACGCTTGACCACCCCTGACCACCGTTGACCACCACTAACCACCACTGACAACCATTGACCACCCTTGACCCCCATTGACCACCACTGACCACCGTTGACCACCCTTGACCCCCATTGACCACCACTGATCACCATTGACCACCACTGACCACTCTTGACCGTCCTTGACCACTGTTGACCACCCTTGACCACCACTAACAACCATTGACCACCCTTGACCACCATTGACAACGCTTAACCAACATTGACCACCCTTGACCACCACTGACCACCCTTGACCACTGTTGACAACCCTTGACCACCACTAACCACTATTGACAACCATTGACCACCATTGACAACGCTTGACTACCACTAACCACCACTGACCACCATTGACCACCACTGACCCCTGTTAACCACCATTGATCCCTGTTGACTCCCATTGACCTCTATCAACCACCCTTGACCACCACTGACCCTCACTGACCACTGTAGACCCTCCTTGACCTCTGCTGACCCCCCCTGACTCCCATTGACCACCACAGATCCCTGTGTCCACCACTGACCCCCGTTGACCACCACTGACCACCATGGACCCCTGTTGACCACCGTTGGTCACCACTGCAGGCCACTGACCACCATTGATACCTGTTGACCACCATTGACCACCGCTGACCCCCATTGGCCTCCATTAACCATCACTGACCACCGTTGACCCCCACTGACCTCCATTAATTCCCATCAACCTCTATTGACCACCACTGACCCCCATTGACCTCCATTAACCATCACTGACCACCGTTGACCCCCACTGACCTCCATTAATTCCCATCAACCTCTATTAACCACCACTGACCCCCATTGACCTCCATTAACCATCACTGACCACCGTTGACCCCCACTGACCTCCATTAATTCCCATCAACCTCTATTAACCACCACTGACCCCCATTGACCTCCATTAACCATCACTGACCACCGTTGACCCCCACTGACCTCCATTAATTCCCATCACCCTCTATTAACCACCACTGACCCCCATTGATCACCATTAACCATCACTGACCACTGTTGACCCCCATTGACCTCCATTAACCATCACTGACCACCGTTAACCCCCACTGACCTCCATTAATTCCCATCAACTTCTATTGACCACCACTGACCACCATTAACCTCCATTACACTCCATGAATTTCTATTAACCACCATTGACCACCGTTGACCCCCACTGACCTCTACTAACCACCATTGACCACCGTTGACCCCCACTGACCTCTACTAACCACCATTGACCACTGTTGACCTCCACTGATCTCCATTAACCCCCATTGACCACTGTTGACCTCCATTGATCCCCATTAACCCCCATTGACCACTGTTGACCTCCATTGACCTCCATTAACCCCCACTGACCTCCATTAACCCCCACTGACCTCTATTAACCACCACTGACCACCGTTGACCCCCATTGACCCCCATTAACCCCCATCAACCTCCATTAACCACCACTGACCACCGTTGACCACCATTGACCTCCATTAGCCCCCACTGACCTCTATTAACCACCATTGACCACCGTTGACCCCCACTGACATCCATTAACCCCCAATGACCAACGTTGACCCCCATTGACCTCTATTAACCACCACTGACCACTGCTGACCCCCCTTAACCCCCATCAACTTCTATTAACCACCACTGACCCCCAATGACCTCCATTAACCCCCATTGACCCCTATTAACCCCCATTGACCTCCATTAACCCCCATTGACCCCCACTGACCTCTATTGTCCACTGTTGACACCCCTTGACCTCTGTTAACCACCACTGACCCCCACTGACCTCCATTAACCCCCATTGACCTCTATTAACCACCACTGACCCCCATTGACCTCCATTAACAACCATTGACCTCTATTAACCACCACTGACTCCCACTGACCTCCATTAACACCCACTGACTTCTATTAACCACCACTGATCTCCATTAACCCCCACTGACCTCTATTAACTCCCATTAACCTCCATTAACCGCCATTGACCACCACTGACCCCCATTGACCTCCATTAACCACCACTGACCCCCACTGACCCCCATCGACCCCCACCCCCAGGTCACCCCCAGATCTCGTCACCTTCTCGACGCTGCTCCAGAAGTGCCTGACCCCATTGACCCCCATTGACCTCTGTTAACCCCCAATGACCACCACTGACCCCACTGACCCCCATTGACCTCTATTAACCCCAATGACCCCATTGACCCCACTGACCTCTATTAACCCCCAATGACCACCATTGACCCCCACTGACCCCCACCCCTCAGGTCACCCCTCAGAACTCGTCACCTTCTCGACGCTGCTCCAGAAGTGCCTGACCCCCATTGACCCCCATTGACCCCCATTGACCTCTGTTAACCCCCATTAACCCCATTAACCCCATTGACCCTCATTGACCTCCTATTAACCCCTCAATGACCTCCATTGACCCTCCATTGACCTCTATTAACCCCCATTGACCCCCATTGACCCCCATTGACCTCCATTGACCTCTATTAACCCCCATTGACCACCATTAACTCCCATTGACCATCCCCATTGACCCCCATTGACCTCTATTAACCTCCAATGACCACCATTGACCCCCATTGACCCCCATTGACCTCTATTAACCTCCAATGACCTCCATTGACCCCCATTGACCCCCATTGACCCCCATTGACCTCTATTAACCTCCAATGACCACCATTGACCCCATCGACCCCACTGCCCCCAGGTCACCTCTCAGATCTCGTCACCTTCTCGACGCTGCTCCAGAAGTGTCTGACCCCCATTGACCCCCACTGACCCCCATTGACCTCTATTAACCCCCATTGACCTCTATTAACCCCCATTGACCTCTATTAACCCCCAATGACCCAATGACCCCCATTGACCCCCATTGACCTCTATTGACCTCCATTGACCTCCATTGACCCCATTGACCCCCATTGACCTCTATTGACCTCCATTGACCTCCATTGACCCCCATTGACCCCCATTGACCTCCATTGACCCCCATTGACCCTCATTGACCTCCATTGACCCCCATTGACCCCCAGGTCACCCCTCAGAACTCGTCACCTTCTCGACTGCTCCAGAAGTGCCTTGACCCCATTGACCCCCATTGACCTCCATTAACCTCAATGACCACCATTGACCTCTATTAACCTCCATTGACCCCTCATTGACCTCCTATTGACCTTCATTGACCTCCATTGACCTCTATTGACCTCCATTGACCTCCATTGACCTCTATTAACCACCATTGACCACCATTGACCCCCATTGACCTACCATTGACCTCATTGACCTCCATTGACCACCACTGACCCCCAATGACCCCCATTGACCCCCATTGACCTCCATTAACCACCACTGACCCCCAATGACCCCCATTGACCCCCATTGACCTCCATTAACCCCCATTGACCCCCATTGACCTCCATTAGCACCATCTATTGACCTCCATTGACCTCCATTGACCTCTATTGACCCCCATTGACCCCATTGACCTCCATTGACCCCATTGACCCCCATTGACCTCCATTGACCTCGCATGACCCCCATTGACCCCATTGACCCCCATTGACCTCCATTGACCACCACTGACTCCCAATGACCCTATTCCATTGACCTCTTACCTTATTGACCCCCATTGACCTCCATTGACCCCCATTGACCTCCATTGACCCCCATTGACCCCCATTGACCTCCATTGACCTCGCATGACCCCCATTGACCTCCATTGACCTCCATGGACCTCCATTGACCTCCATGGTGACCTCCATTGACCTTCATTGACCTCCATTGTCCTCCATTGACCCCCATTGACCTCTATTGACCCCCAATTGACCTCCATTGACCCTATTGACCCCCATTGACCCCCATTGACCCCCAATGACCCCCATTGACCTCTATTAACCCCCATTGACCCCATTGACCCCCATTGACCACCATTGACCTCCTATTAACTCAATGACCCCCATTGACCCCCAATGACCCCCATTGACCCCCATTGACCTCTATTAACCCCCATTGACCCCCATTGACCCCCACCCCCCCCAGATCTCGTCACCTTCTCGACGCTGCTCCAGAAGTGCCGCACCTCGCGGGCGATGGCGGCGGCCACGCGGCGCAGCTTGGCCTGCTCCTCCCGCTTGGCGCGCTCCTGGCGCTGCCGCTGCTCCTCGTGGTGCCGCATCACCATCCGCACCACCTGCACCACAGGGGGGGACAGGGGAGGGCAAGGTGGGCTTGAGGAACCACCACGAGTTCTTCAGGTGCTCCAAATGACACACAAAGTCCTCCCAAAAGCTCCCTCAGGTGGCACCAAAAGTTCTCCAGGTGCCACCAAAACCTCCCTCAGGTGCAACCAAAAGTTCTCCAGGTGGCACCAAAAGTTCTCTCAGGTGGCACCAAAAGTTCTCCAGGTGGCCCCAAAAGTTCTCCAGGTGACCCCAAAAGTTCTCCAGGTGGCATCTGAGGTTCTCCAGGTGCCCCCAGAGGTTCTAAAGGTGCCACCAAAAGTTCTCCAGGTGCCCCCTGAGGTTCTCCAGGTGCCACCAAAAGTTGGGCTTGAGGAGACACCACAAGTTCTTCAGATGGTCCAAACGACACCCAAAGCCCTCCCAAAACCTCCCTCAGGTGCCACCAAAAGTTCTCCAGGTGGCACCAAAAGTTCTCAGGGGGGACACAGAAGGGGACAAAGAGGATGGACAAGGTCAAGGTGGGCTTGAGGAACCACCACGAGTTCTTCAGGTGCTCCAAATGACACACAAAGCCCTCCCAAAACATCCCTCAGGTGGCACCAAAAGTTTTCCAGGTGCCACCAAAAGCTCCCTCAGGTGGCACCAAAAGTTCTCTCAGCTGCCACCAAAACCTCTCTCAGGTGCCACCTGAGGTTCTCCAGGTGCCACCAAAACCTCTCTCAGGAGCCACCAAAACCTCTCTCAGGTGCCACCAAAAGTTCTCCAGGTGCCACCAGAACTTCTCCAGGTGCCACCTGAGGTTCTCCAGGTGCCCCTGAGGTTCTCCAGGTGCCACCAAAAGTTCTCCAGGTGCCACCAAACACCCCTCCAACCCCACCCCAGGTTCTCCAGGTGTTCCAATCCCCTCCAGGTGCCCCCAGGTGCCACCAAATCCCCTCCAGGTGCCTCACCTTCCTGGCGCGCCCTCTTCCACATCCCTCTCCTGGGCGAAGTCAGCCCAGCCCCTCCAGAGTGCCACCAAACCCCTCCAGGTGCCACCAAGCCCCCGTCCCAGCCCTCCAGGTGCCACCAAACTCCCCTCCAGGTGCCCCCAGGTGCTCACCTTCCATGGCCACGTCCCTCTTCCACCTCCCCTCCTGGGGCGAAGTCGGTCCCCCAGCCCCTCCAGGTGCCACCAGATGCCACTCCAGGTGCCACCAAAGCCTCCTCCAGGTGCTACCAAACCCCTCCAGGTGCCACCAAACCCCCAGGTGTCCAGGTGCCACCAAACCCCCTCCCAGCCCCTCCAGGTGCCACCAAACCCCCTCCAGGTGCCACCAAACCCCCGAGGTGTCCCCAGGTGCCACCAATCCTCCTCCCAACCCCTCCAGGTGCCACCAAGCCCTCCAGGTGCCACCAAACCCCCAGGTGTCCCCAGGTGCCACCAATCCCTCTCCCAACCCCTCCAGGTGCCACCAACCCTCCAGGTGCCACCAAACCTCCTCCAGGTGCCACCAAACCCCCTCCAGGTGCCACCAAACCTTCCCAACCCCTCCAGGTGCCACCAAACCCCTCTCCCAACCCCTCCAGGTGCCACCAAACCCCTCCAGGTGCCCCCAGGTGCTCTCCAACGCCCCTCCAGGTGTCCCCAGGTGCCCCTAGGTGCCTCACCTTCCTGGCCACGCCCCTCTTCCACCTCCTCTCCTGGGCGAAGTCGGCCCTCCCAACCCCTCCAGGTGCTACCATGCAACCCCTCCAGGTGTCTCCAGGTGCCACCAAACCTCCTCCCAGGTGCCACCAAACCCCCTCCAGGTGTCTCCAGGTGCCACCAAACCCCCTCCAGGTGTCTCCAGGTGCCCCTCAGGTGCCACCAAACCCCCTCCCAAGCCCTCCCAGCCCCTCCAGGTGCCCCCAGGTGCCTCACCTTCCTGGCCACGCCCCTCTTCCACCTCCTCTCCTGGGCGAAGTCAGCCCTGCCAACCCCTCCAGGTGCCACCAAACCCCTCTCCAGGTGCCCCTCAGGTGTTCCAATCCCCCCAGGTGTCTCACCTTCCTGGCCACGCCCTCTTCCACCTCCTCTCCTGGGCGAAGTCAGCCCTGCCAACCCCTCCAGGTGCCACCAAACCCCTCTCCAGGTGCCCCCAGGTGTTCCAATCCCCTCCAGGTGTGTCACCTTCCTGGCCACGCCCCTCTTCCACCTCCTCTCCTGGGCGAAGTCGGCGGCCAGCCACTCCAGGTGCCACCAAACCCCCTCCAGGTGCCACCAAACCCCTCCAGGTGCCACCAAAACCCCTCCAGGTGCCACCCAGACCTTCACTCCAGGTGCCACCAAACCCCTCCAGGTGCCACCAAACCCCCTCCAGGTGCCACCAAACCCCCTCCAGGTGCCACCAAACCCCCTCAGGTGCCCCCAAACCCCCTCCAGGTGCCACCAAACTCCCTCCAGGTGCCCCCAGGTACCCTCAGGTGCCCCCAGGTGCCTCACCTTCCTGGCCACGCCCCTCTTCCACCTCCTCTCCTGGGCGAAGTCGGCCGCCAGCCACTGCATCTCCTCGCACAGGTAGTCCCAGTGCACCTTGGGCCGCGCCGGCTCCGGCACCTTCGGCAGGCGCCGCAGGGACCAGAACCCCTCCCGCTTCATCTCCGCCACACGGTGCTCCACCTCCGCCTCCTGGGGGAAAATGGGGGGAATTCAGCCAGATTTGGGGAAATGGGGGATAATTCAATTAAATTGGCTCAAAACGCGGGAAAAAAATGGGCGTAGATTGGCCCGAAAATGGAGTAAATGGGCAAAAAAGTGGGGGTAAATTGACACAGAAATTGAGTTCATCTCCGCCACACGGTGCTCCACCTCCGCCTCCTGGGGGAAAATGGGGGGAATTCAGCCAGATTTGGGGAAATGGGGGAAAATTTAATTAAATTGGCTCAAAAACGGGAAAAAAAATGGGGTAAATTGGCCCAAAAATGGAGTAAATGGGCAAAAAAAGTGGGGTAAATTGACACAGAAATTGAGTTCATCTCTGCCACACGGTGCTCCACCTCTGCCTCCTGGGGGAAAATGGGGTGAATTCAGCCAGATTTGGGTAAATGGGGGAAAATTTAATTAAATTGGCTCAAAAACGGGAAAAAAAATGGGGTAAATTGATGGTAAAATGGGGCAAAAATCAGGAAAATTGCAGAAAAAATTGGGTTTAATTGGGTAAGTTGCAGAAAAAAATGGGTCAAGTTATGTAAATTGCAGGAAAAAATGGATTAAATTCGGTAAATTCCCAAGAAAAAATAGAGTAAGTAGGAAAAAGATAGGTTAAATTGACCCAAAAATTGGTTTTATCTCTGCCACCTGGTGCTCCACCTCCGCCTCCTGGGGGAAAATGGGGGGAATTCAGAGAGATTTGGGTAAATGGGGGAAAGTTCAGTTAAATCGGCACAAAAACGGGAAAAAAAACGGGGTAAATTGGCCCAAAAATGGAGTAAATGGACAAAAAAATGGGGTAAATTGACATAAGAACTGGTTTTATCTCCGCCACCTGGTGCTCCACCTCTGCCTCCTGGGGGAAAATGGGGGGAATTCAGAGAAATTTGGGTAAATGGGGGAAAATTTAATTAAATTGGCTCAAAAATGGGAAAAAAAATGGGGTAAATTGGCCCAAAAATGGAGTAAATGGGCAAAAAAATGGGTTAAATTGACACAGAAATTGAGTTCATCTCTGCCACTCGGTGCTCCACCTCTGCCTCCTGGGGGGAAATGGGGTGAATTCAGCCAGATTTGGGTAAATGGGGGAAAATTTAATTAAATTGGCTCAAAAACGGGAAAAAAAATGGGGTAAATTGATGGTAAAATGGGGCAAAAATCAGGAAAATTGCAGAAAAAATTGGGTTTAATTGGGTAAGTTGTAGAAAAAAATGCGTCAAGTTATGTAAATTGCAGGAAAAAATGGATTAAACTGGGTAAATTCCCAAGAAAAAATTGAAGAAAAAAGTGGGTTAAATTGACACAGAAATTGGTTTCATCTCTGCCACGTGGTGTCCTACCTCTGCCTCCTGGGGGGGAAATGGGGTGAATTCAGCCAGATTTGGGTAAAGTGGGGAAAGGTCGGTTAAATTGGCCCAAAAATGGGGTAAATGGGCAAAAAAAATGGGGTAAATCGGGTAAATTGAAGAAAAAAATGGGTTAAATTGACATAAAAATTGGTTTTATCTCTGCCACCTGGTGCTCCACCTCCGCCTCCTGCACCAAAAATGGGGTGAATTCAGCCAGATTTGGGAAAATTGGGGAAAAGTCGGTTAAATTGGCCCAAAAATGGGAAAAAAATGGGGTAAAGTGGGTAAATTGAAGAAAAAAATGGGTTAAATTGACACAGAAATTGACTTCATCTCCCCCACCTGGTGCTCTACCTCTGTCTCTTGGGGGGAAATTGGGGTGAATTCAGCCAGATTTGGGTAAATTGGAGAAAATTCGGCTAAATTGACCCAAAAGTGGGGTAAATGGGCAAATAAAATGGGTTAAATTGACACAGAAATTGACTTCATCTCCCCCACCTGGGGCTCCACCTCCACCTCCTAGGGGAGGAAATAGGGCAAAAAATGGGTTAAATGGGCCAAAAAATGATTTAAATGGGAAAAAAACGAGGTTAGATTGGGTAAATTGTAGAAAAAAATGGGTTAATTAGAAAAAAATGGCTTGAATTAGAAAAAAAAATGGGTTAAAAAGACAGGAAACTCACTGAAATCGACCCAGAAATCTGTTGTATGGACCAAGAAACGGCTTAAATTGGCTCGAGAATCAGGAAAATTGGCAAAAAAATGGGCTAAATCAGCCTCAAAATCGGTTCAATTGACACAAAAATCACTTTGACTGATAAAAGGATGGGTTAAATCGGCACAAAAACGGGTTATGTTGACGCAAAAACTGGTAAAACTGACACAAAAATTGGTTAAAACCACCCAGAACTTGGCGAGACGGACCCAAAAACCAAAGAAATTGTCCCAAAAACCGGCGAGCTCAACCCAAAAGTCGGTGAAATCCCCTTCAAACCCCCTAAATCCCCCCAAACCCCCTCAAACCCCCAAATCCCCCTCAAGCCCCCCAAATCCTCTAACCCCTCAAATGCCCCCAACCTCCCCCAAATCCCCCTCAACCCCCAAATCCCTCTCAAACCCCCAATCCCCCTCAACCCCCAAATCCCTCTCAAACCCCCAAATCCCCCAACGCCCCCAAATCCCCTTAAACCCCCTCTAACCCCCAAATCCCCTCTAAGCCCCCAAATCCCCCCCAAACTCCCTCAAATCTCTCTCAACCCCCCAAATCCCCTGAAAACCCCCCAAACCCACTCCTAACCCCCAAATCTCCTCTCTAAACCCCCAAATCCCTCAACTCCCCCTCTAAGCCCCCAAATCCTCCTCTAATCCTCCCTAAGTCCCCCAGGCCCCAAATGTTTTCTAGACTCTGAACCCCCTCAAACCTCTCCAAGTCCCCTCAACCCCCCCAAATCCCCCAGACCCCCTCAAAGCCCACGAATCCTCCAGTTCACCCCAAGCCCTCAATCCCCCAAATCCCCCAAATCTCCCAAACCCCCAAATCCCCAAACCCCCTCAAACCTCACAAATCCTCCAGTTCACCCCAAACCCCTCAATCCCCCAAATCCCCCAAATCCCCCTCAACCCCCAAATCCCCCAAACCCCCTCAAACCCCACAAATCTCCCCTCAACCCCCCACAAATCCCCAAATCCCCCAAATCCCCCAAACCCCCAAATCCCCTCAAACCCCCAAACCCCAATCTCCTCAAACCCCCCAAACCCCAAATCCCCCTCAAACCCCCAAACCCCCCAAATCCCCCTCCAATCCCAACCAAACCCCCAGCCCCCAGCCCACTCACGTGCTTGGCCTGCCTCGGCGATCTCGGCCTGGGTGCGGTCCCTGCAGACTGGGGGGCTCGGGGGCCGGGGGCCGTCAGGGGGGTCCCAGGGAGCCCAGGGGAGGGGCTGCCGAGGACCCGAGAGACGAGGCCGGGGACACCGGACTGCTGCCCGTCATCCTGCACGGAGCCTGGGGGAAAAAATGGGAATTTTGGGGGTTTGAGGGGATTTGGGGGATTGAGGGACATGGGACTGCTGCCCGTCATCCTGCACGGAGCCTGGGAGAAAAAACCAGGGGGATTTAGGGGGATTTGAGGGGTTTGAGGGGACACCTGGACTGCTGCCTGTCATCCTGCAGCGGAGCCTGGGGGAAAAATGGGAATTTGGGGGAAAAACAGAGATTTGGGGGACACTAGGACTGCTGCCGTCATCCTGCACGGGCCTGAGGGAAAAAAATGGGAATTTGGGATTTAGGAGGGATTTTAGGGGGATTGAGGGACACTGGGACTGCTGCCCGTCATCCTGCACGGAGCCTGGGGGGAAAATGGAATTTGGGGGAAAATGGAAATTTGGGGGTTTGAGGGACATGGGGACTGCTGCCTGTCATCCTGCACAGGAGCCTGGGGCCAAAAAAATGGGAATTTGGGATTTAGGGAGGATTTTGGGGAGATTGAGGGACACTGGGACTGCTGCCCGTCATCCTGCACGGAGCCTGGGGGAAAAATGGGAATTTGGGGGAAAATGAGAATTTAGGGGACACCGGACTGCTGCCCGTCATCCTGCACGGAGCCTGGGGAAAAATGGGAATTTGGGGGAAAATGGAATTTGGGGACACTGGACTGCTGCCCGTCATCCTGCACGGAGCCTGGGGGGAAAAATGGGAATTTAGAGGGATTGAGGGATACCAGGACTGCTGCCTGTCATCCTGCACGGAGCCTGGGGGAAAAAAATGAGAATTTGGGGGTTTGAGGGGATTTGGGGGGATTGAGGGACACCGGGACTGCTGCCCGTCATCCTGCACGGAGCCTGGGGAAATTTGGGGGTTAGGGGGTTTGGGGGGCTTTGGGGGATTTGAGGGGTTTGAGAGGGATTTGGGGGGTTTGAGTGGGATTTGGGGGGTTTGAGAGGGATTTGGGGGTTTGAGGGGATTTGGGGAGGTTTGAGGGGGATTTGGGGGGATTGGGGGGATTTGGGGGGTTTGAGGACATGGGACTGCTGCCGTCATCCTGCACGGAGCCTGGGGGAGATTTGGGGGGTTTGAGGGGATTTGGGGATTTGGGGGGATTTGAGGGATTTGAGGGGATTTGGGGGAGTTTGGAGAAGATTTGGGGGTGTTGAGGCAGATTTCAGGGAGTTTGAGGGGGTTTGGGGGGTTTGAGGGACATGGGGACTGCTGCCCGTCATCCTGCCGCAGACCTGGGGGGAAAAAATGGGGATTTGGGGGGGTTTGAGGGGGATTTGGGGGGTTTGAGGGGATTTGGGGGGGGATTTGGGGGTTTGGGGGACACAGGGACTGCTGCCTGTCATCCTGCACGGAGCCTGGGGGGAAATAATGGGAATTTGGGGGGTTTGAGGGGATTTGGGGGACATGGGGACTGCTGCCCGTCATCCTGCACGGAGCCTGGGGAAAAATGGGGGGTTTGAGGGGATTTGGGGGAGTTTGGAGGAGGATTTGAGGGGGATTTGGGGGGGGTTTGGGGGATTTGAGGGGGATTTGAGGGACATGGGGACTGCTGCCCGTCATCCTGCACAGGAGTCTGGGGGGAAAATTGGGGCGATTTGGGGGGATTTGGGGGGTTTGAGGGGGATTTGGGGGGTTTGAGGGGATTTGGGGGGTTTGAGGGGGTTTGAGGGGGATTTGGGGGATATGGGGACTGCTGCCCGTCATCCTGCACGGAGCCTGGGGCAAAAAATAGGAATTTGGGATTTAGGGGGGGATTTGGGGGGTTTGAGGGGATTTGGGGAGATCTGGGGAGATTTGGGGGATTTGAGGGGGATTTAGGGGATTTAAGGAGAATTTGGGGGAGTTTCAGGGGGATTTGGGGGGTTGGGGGGGTTTGGGGGGATTTGGGGGTTTGAGGGGATTTGGGGGAGTGTGAGGGGGATTTGGGGACATGGGGACTGCTGCCCGTCATCCTGCATGGAGCCTGGGGGAAATGTGGGCAATTTGAGGGGATTAAGGGGGGGTTTGAGGGGGATTTGGGGGGTTGGGGGGATTTGGGGGTTTGAGGGGATTTAGGGGGTTTGGGGAGGTTTGAGGGGGAGATTTGGGGGTTTGAGGGACATGGGGACTGCTGCCTGTCATCCTGCATGGAGCCTGGGGGGAAAACGAGGGTTAGGGGATTTGGGGGAGTTGAGGGGGATTGAGAGGGATTTGGGAGGGGTTTGAGGGGATTTCAGGGGGTTTGGGGGATTTAGGGGGTTTGAGGGGGATTTGGAGGGGTTTGAGGGGGATTTGGGGAGTTTGAGGGGGATTTGAGGAGGATTTGAGGGGGTTTGGGGGATTTGAGGGGATTTGGGGGGTTGGGGGATTTGGGGGTTTGAAGAACATAGGGACTGCTGCCCGTCATCCTGCACGGAGCCTGGGGAGATTTGGGGGTTAGGGGGATTTGGGGGGATTTGGGAGGTTTGAGTGGGATTTGGGGGGTTTGAGGGGGATTTGGGGGATTTGGAGGGGGATTTTGGGGGTTTGGGGGATTTGGGGGTTTGAGGGGAATTTGGGGGTTTGATGGACATGGGGACTGCTACCGTCATCCTGCACGGAGCCTGAAGGGAGATTTGGGGGGTTGAGGGGGATTTGGGGGGGTTGAAAGGATTTGGGGTTTGGGGAGGATTGGGGGATTTAAGGGGGTTTGCGGGGTTTGGGGGATTTGGGGGAGTTTGAGGGGGATTTGGGGGTTTGAGGAGGATTTAGGGAGTTTAGAAAAGATTTGGGAAGATTTGAGGGGGATTTGGGGGATTTGAGGAACATTTGAGGAGGATTTGGGGGAGTTTGAGGAGGGATTTGGGGGCAGTTGGGAAGGATTTGGGGGGTTTGGTGTGGTTCAAGGGGGATTTAGGGGGAAATTGGGGGTTTAAGAAAATTGGGGGGATTTTGTGTGGACTTGGGCACCTCCCCCTCACCTGACCCACCCTCCTCCCTGTAGCCCCTCCTCCCCTGTAGCCCCTCCCCCTGCTTTTAACCTCCCCCTGCCCTTGTAGCCCTCCCCTTCACTTCTAGCCTCCCCCTCACCTCTGGTTCCTCCTTCTCCACTCTGGCCCCTCCCTCCTCTGTAGCTCTTCCCCTCCCCTTTGGCCCCTCCCCAAAAATCTGGCCCCTCCCCTCACTTGCAGCCCTCCCCTTCCTGTAGCCCCTCCCCCTACTCTTGCCCTCCCCTCACTTGCAGCCCCTCCCCTCACCTCTGGCTCCTCCTTTTCCACTGTGGCCCCTCCCCTCAGGTCTGGCCCCTCCTCCTCACTTGTAGCCCTCCCCTCACCTCTGGCCCCTCCCCCTCCCCTTGTAGCCCCTCCCTCTATTACCACCCTCCCCACCTCTGGCCCCTCCCCTCCCTTGTAGCCCCTCCCCTCAATTACCACCCTCCCCCCCACCTCTGGCCCTCCCCCTTGTAGCCCCTCCCTCTATTACCACCCCTCCCCCACCTCTGGCCCCTCCCCTCCCTTGTAGCCCCTCCCCTCAATTACCACCCCTCCCTCCTCACCTCTGGCCTCCTCCCTTGTAGCCCCCTCCCCTCAATTACCACCCCTCCCCACCTCTGGCCCTCTCCCCTCCCCTCTCCTCCAGCCCTCCCCCATCCCAGACTCACCTGTGGGTGGAGTGGTGGAGTGGGGGTGGGGCTGGCCCCGGGCCGCCCCTCCTCCTCCCGGCCGCAGGGCTGCTGGGAAGGGGCGCCTCATTCCGGGGGAGGGGCACCTGGCCGGCCCAGCCTCACCTGCGCGGCACCGCCTGTGGGGCGCCAGGGAGTCACGTTAAACCACGCCCACCTGAGCTCAGACCACGCCCACCCAACCCCCAGGGCCTCACCTGCGCGGCACCGCCTGCGGGGGGCGCCAGGGAGCAACAGGTGAGACCACGCCCACCTGAGCTCAGACCACGCCCACCTCCCTTTAACCACACCCACCCAACCCCCAGGGCCTCACCTGCGCGGCACCGCCTGCGGGGGGCGCCAGGGAGCGACAGGTGAGGCCACGCCCACCTCGCTTTAACCACACCCACCTGACTTTAACCACGCCCACCTGAGCTCAGACCACGCCCACCCAACCCCCAGGGCCTCACCTGCGCGGCACCGCCTGCGGGGGGCGCCAGGGAGCCACTGTTAAACCACGCCCACCTGCCTTTAGCCACGCCCACCCAACCCCCAGGGCCTCACCTGCGCGGCACCGCCTGCGGGGGGCGCCAGGGAGTCACCGTTAAACCACGCCCACCTTGCTTTGGTCACGCCCACCTCACTTTAACCACACCCACCTGAGCTCAGACCACGCCCACCCAGCCCCCAGGGCCTCACCTGCACGGCACCGCCTGCGGGGGGCGCCAGGGAGCAACAGGTGAGGCCACGCCCACCTCAATTAGCCACACCCATCTCACTTTAACCACGCCCACCCAACCTCCAGGGCCTCACCTGCGCGGCACCGCCTGCGGGGGGCGCCAGGGAGTCACGTTAAACCACGCCCACCTGGCTTTGGCCACACCCACCCGAGCTTAAACCACACCCACCCAACCCCCAGGGCCTCACCTGCGCGGCACCGCCTGCGGGGGGCGCCAGGGAGCAACAGGTGAGGCCACGCCCACCTCAATTAGCCACACCCATCTCACTGTAACCACGCCCACCCAATCCCCAGGGCCTCACCTGCGCGGCACCGCCTGCGGGGGGCGCCAGGGAGCAACAGGTGAGACCACGCCCACCTCAATTAGCCACGCCCACCCAACCCCCAGGGCCTCACCTGCGCGGCACCGCCTGCGGGGGGCGCCAAGGAGTCACGCTAAACCACACCCACCTTGCTTTGGCCACGCCCACCTCACTTTGGCCATGCCCACCTTGCTTTAGTCACACCCATCTTGCTTTAGCCACGCCCACCTGAGCTCAGACCACGCCCACCCAACCCCCAGGGCCTCACCTGCGCGGCACTGCCTGCGGGGGGCGCCAGGAAGCAACCATTAAACCACGCCCACCTCACTTTAGCCACACCCACCTAATCCCAGGCCTTGTTTTAAGCCCCCACCCACTTATTTTTAACCCCACCCACTTCTCTTAAGCTCCTCCCACCCCATTTGGGCCCCCCACCTGGCTCAGGCCCCTCCCCACCTGCGTGCGGGGCCCTCGTCCGTCCTCGGTCACACTCCACTTCCACGGTGCCGCTCACCTGGGGGACTGGGGGACACCGGGGTCACTCGGGGCACTGGGAGGGACTGAGGGGATTGGGGCACTGGGAGGGATTGGGGGCACTGGGGATTGGGGGCACTGGGAAGGACTGGGAGGGATTTGGGAGCAACTGGGAGGGATTGGGGCACTGGGAAGGACTGGAGGGATTTGGAGCAACTGGGAGGGACTGAGGGGATTGGGGGGCATTGGGAGGGAATTGGGAGGACTGGGAAGGAATGGGGGTAATTGGGGGGGACTGGGAGGGACTGAGGGGATTGGGGGCAACTGGGGCAACTGGGACCCTAAACCCAGTCTGGGACCCCCAAATTCCCTCACAGACCCCCCAGATTGATCAAGGAGCCCCCAAAACCCCTCAAGGACCCCCCAAATTGATCAAGGAACCCCCAAATTAATCAAGGACCCCCCAAACCCCCTCAAGGACTCCCTAAAATCTCCTCAAGGACCCCCAAACCCCCACAAGGACCCCCAAAACCTTCAAGGACCCCCAAATTGATCAAGGACCCCCAAATTGATCAAGGACCCCCAAAGTGATCAAGGATCCCCTCTAGATTTACCAAGGAGCCCTAAACCCCCTCAAGGACCCTCAAATTAATCAAGGAGCCCCCAAAATTGATTAAGGACCCCCAAATTGATCAAGGACCCCAAAACTCCCTTCAAAGACTCCCCCAAACCCCTCAAGGACCCCCAAACCTCACAGAGAGACCCCCCAAACCACTTCAAGGACCCCCCAAATTCACATAGAGAGCCCCAAGCCCCACAAGGATCCCCCAAAACTGATCAAGGACCCCCAAACCCATCGAGGACCCCCAAAACCCCTCAAGGACCCCCTAAACCCCCTCGGAGGACCCCTCAAATTAATCAAGGAGCCCCCAAATTGATCAAGGAGCTCCAACCCCCTCAAGGACCCCCCAAACCCCTCAAGGACCCCCCTAAAACCTTCAAGGACCACCCCAAATTGATCAAGGAAACCCCCAAATGGATCTAAGGACCCCCAAATCAACTCAAGGACCCCCAGACCCCCTCAAGGACCCCCAAAACCTTCAAGGATCCCCAAAATTGATCAGGACCCCCAAATTGATCAAGGAGCCTCCAACCCTCCTCAAGGACCCCCAACCTCCTCATGGACTCCCCCAAATTGATCAAGGACCCCCAAATTGATCAAAGACCACCCTAAACCCTCCAAGGACTCCCCCAAAACTCCTTCAAGGACCCCTAAAACTGATCAAGGACCCCCAAATGGATCAAGGACCCCCTAAGCTCCTCAGTGATCCCCAAACCCCTCAAGGACCCCCAGACCCTCAAGGACCCCCTCAAACCCCCTCAAGGACCCCCCTAAGCCCCCTCATGGACCCCCAAACCCTCAGAGAGACCCCAAACCCATCAAGGACCCCCAAACCCCCTCTCAGGGACCCCAAACCCCCTCACAGACCCTCTCAGCCCACAAAAGGACCCCCAAACCCTCCTTCATAGACTCCCCAAACCCCCTCAGAGTCCCCAAACCCACCAAGGACCCCCCCAAACCCTTCAAGGACCCTCCAAACCCCTCACAGACCCCCCAAACACCACAGAGAGACCCCCAAACCCCTCACAGACTCCAAACCCCTCATGGACTCCCGTGGGACCCCAAACCCCTCAAAGACCCCCAGTCCCCCTCAGACCCCTCAGAGAGACCCCAAACCCTCTCACAGACCCTCAAACGGGACCCCAAACCCCTCAAGGACCCCCTAATCCCCTCAAACCCCCTCAGAGACCCCAAACCCACCAAGGACCCCCCCAAACCCCCTCACAGACCCCAAACACCACATGGACCCCCAATGAGACCCCAAACCCCTCAAGGACCCCCTAATCCCCAAACCCCTCAGAGAGACCCCAAACCCACCAAGGACCCCCAAACCCTTCAAGGACCCCCAAACCTCTTCAAAACCCCCTAAACCCCTCACGGACCCTCCCCACCCCACACCAAACCCCTAAACCCTTAAGGACCTCCCAAACCCTCAAACCCCACACAAGGACCCCCAGACCCCTCAGAGAGACCCTAAACCCACCAAGGACCCCCAAACTCCACTCAGGGACCTCCCCAAACCCACCGCAAGGACCCCCCAAATCGCTCTCACAGACCCCAAACCTCACACAGGACCCCCAACCCACTCAAAATCCCCTATTACCTCTGCGCACACCAAAACCTGCAACCCCTCAAGGACCCCCCAAACCCCACACAAGGACCCCCAACACATTAAAGACCCCCAAACTCCCTCACAAGGAGCCCCTGAACTCCT